TTACCCACAAACAAGCCGACGGAACACCATTCCGAACAGGAAATAGGAAAAGTGTTCCGAATCAATCGACAGCCAGGCTCCAATCACTCATTGACTATTTTAAGCGACACCAAATTCGATCAACGATAATTAAATTGTTATAAATGACATTTAGAGCCAAACCACCAATCAATCAATCATGGCAAAGTAATTGGTGTCCTATCTAAGCGATAAGATTGTTTGAAAGTGTATGAGAAAAAACAGACCTCTTAAGAAATTCTATTTCATAAAATTCCCCACAGCTTGGGCGGGGTAAATTAAAAGCATATTTCGTCAAAAAGAGACATAGTTATGGGCGATGTAGCTATTGTATAGTTATCATAATTTGAGTCCACTGACGGCAAATATCATTGTACCATGCTATGAATTTTGACAGTTTTGATCATTTTTGTCAAAATATGAAACAGTCTGAAGAATTGGTGGAAATCCTTGGAACTAAGAGCACTTCGCCATTTTCAAGATTTTTTTAAATATCGAGTTATTTTAAAATTTAAAAAAAACCGGATTGCCTCGAGTCCACCTCTCGATTTTATCCACGTGCTCGCGATGAGAAAATTGTTCTCACCTACAACTCAGTAGATTAAACAGTAGCTTCTTTAAGACACGCACAATCTGTTTTTTCATAATTGTTTAAGAAATATTCGAAGTTATCTTCATTTATAGAGAAATAGCTATCCAGATTATCGTCCAATACCCTTGCCTTTCTCACTATCGGACGGCTAGATCGATTGTAGAGAACGCCATATCCTTTGATCATTGTGCGATTTCCACGTGTGATTACGTATCCATAATGACGAAAGAAAGGAAAGGGCAACGTTCTGAAGACATTGACAGATTTCCATATTGATATTTAAGTTTTACTTTCTACGCAAATAATTTACATATTAAACGTGTCGCAACGTTTCAAGACCGACTGGTCCCTTTGTCAAGCTCTGACTGAGTGAGCGATAAACAATTTCGTCCCATCGTGGTACAGTAGGTCTTGAAACATTGCGACACGTTTGTCGTTAAATACGTACATTGTTTGTATAGAAAGTAAATTTTTAATATCATACATTTCCAAACTGATGAATCTTATTGAAGAGATTTCCATTGTTTGTCAGCGTTCCATATCATAAAGCATGTTCCATATCATAAAGCATCACCAGAGTCCAAATGGAACACGTGATTATTTTTCGTTAGTTCGATCAGGCATGCAGAGCAACTTGATTAAGTGCAAATTTTATTGTCCGAAATGAATGTGATTCTGGCCATTGCTGTCCGGATAAATGAAATGCCGCTTGATTTACATATCATGGTTTGTCACTCACTTAGATGTTTCCTTCTTGTTGTGATGTGTCTGATACATATTGCTATAATGTAAATAAGGTACATGTTATGTTAAAACAATTGAGTTTACATTAGTGTCCGCATTAGTTATAATTATGACCCCAGGGCTACACGTTCAGTTCTGCACTTGATATATATATACGAAATTGTCTGCCGTAGTTTTATATTCTCCGCCAGGCGTCGCTTCCAAAACTGCGACGCCTACCGGAGAGAATAATTACAATGCAGGTAACCTAGTCTTTGGCACAGGGACATGACATTTTGTTACAGTTAGTATACATGCATATTTAAACCTATACTTGCGTAAAGAGTTATATAAGACCTGATAAGTGTTTAGATCCCTATATGACAAGCCTAGTATAACTCTCTACTCACCAATACCTTCTATAACAAATTATCAAGTCCCTGTGATCTAGGGCTTTTGATCTGTTAATCAGGATTCGTTGCCTTTAAAACACACTTTCAGAACATTCAGAAAGAGAATTATCGTCAGTCAGGAATATTGGTATATTTGTGTGTTTTAGATGAGGGAGGTCGTTTTGATTCAAACGACATCGCTCTTTTATTGACGTTTAACATCATTATTACACAAAGGCCACTAGGCCTGATAATCACATGTTTCCGTTATTTTGGCGTCATTCATTGTATGCTAGATGAAGCTTGCTAGACATTTTATTACAATAATGGTTAAGAAATTTGTCGTTACAAACTTTATAAGATTAATGCACAATCCATTATATTTCAATATTTTAAGAAGCACGTGTATAATACTGTTTTACAGTAACTACTTAAAAATCTCAGAATTTATGCTTTTGTTATTAAGTTACAACTATTAAGAAATATCAGATTATTATGTTAAGGAATAAGATAACTTTACTCAAACGGAAATTAATAAGACGACACGCCTGTCTCTCGTTCACTCGCGAGCATAGTTAATGCCTGTTGCTAAGTTATTAAAAATGATAATGGGGTATGTCATCCTTTTGTTAAGAGTGATGAACATTTGAAATGATTGGTTTAATGTAAAATAATTTGTTACAAAACAATAAACGGCCTTTTCAAGTTTCGGAAAGACCATGATTTTATGGACCTCATAAACTCTTACAAATGTTACGTAGGTCTGCTTGGGGTTGCTGGGATATGCTGTGGTGCTAGGATGAACCTTGTTTTTTTTTGTGGTTTCGAGAATATGCAGTGATTCCGTTTGTGGTTGCTAAGATGTGTCATGGCTCTGTTTGTGGTTGCTAGGATTACTGTGGTTCCGTTTGTAGTTGCTAGGATGTTTTGTGGTTGCGTTGTGGTTGCTAGGATGTGTAGTGATTCCGTTTTTGGTTGCTAAGATGTGCCATGGTTCCGTTTGTGGTTGTTAGGATGTGCAGTGGTTCCGTTTGTGGTTGCTAGGATATGCCCTGGTTCCTTTTGTGGTTGCTAGGATTACTGTGGTTCCGTTTGTGGTTGCTAGGATTACTGTGGTTCCGTTTGTGGTTGCTAGGATGTTTTGTGGTTGCGTTGTGGTTGCTAGGATGTGCAGTGATTCCGTTTCGGATTGCAGGGATATGCCTTGGTTTCTTTTGTAGTTGCTAGGATATGCTGTGGTTCCGTTGTGGTTGCTAGGTTGTGCAGTGGTTCCGTTTGTGATTGCAATGATGTGCATTGGTTTCTATTGTGGTTTCTATGATGTGCAGTGGTTCCGTTTGTGGTTGCTAGGATGTATAGAAGTTCCGTTTGTGTTTGCTAGGATGTGCAGTGGTTTCTTTGGTGGTTGCTTGGATGTTCAGTGGTTTCTTTGGTGGTTGCTTGGATAGTCAGTGGTTGCGTTTGAGGTTGCTTTGATGTGCAGTTGTTCCGTTTGTTGTTTTTAGGATGTGCAGTGGTTTCTTTGGTGGTTGTTTGGATGTTCAGTGGTTTCGTTTTTGTTGTTGCTGATATTGCTGTGGTTCCGTTTATTTTTGCTATGATTACTGTTGTCCCTTTTGTAGTTGATAGGATTACTGTGGTTCCGTAAGTGGTTACTGGGATTACTGTGGTTCCGTTTGTGGTTGTAAGGATGTGTAGTGGTTACGTTTGTATTTGCTAGGATTAATTTGGTTCCGTTTGTGGTTGCTATGATTAATTTGGTTCCGTTTGTGGTTGCTATGATTATTGCGGTTCCGTTTGTTGTTGTAAGGATGTGTAGTGATCACGTTTGTAGTTGCTAGGATTAATTTGGTTCCGTTTGTGGTTGCTAGGATTACTGTGGTTCCGTTTGTGGTTGCTAGGATTACTGTGGTTCCGTTTGTGGTTGCTAGGTTTACTGTGGTTCCGTTTGTGGTTGCTAGGTTTACTGTGGTTCCTTTTGTAGTTGCTAGGATATGCAGTAGTTCCGTTTATGGTTGCTAGGATGTGCAATTGCTCCGTTTATTGTTGCTATGGTGAACTTATTAAGAAACAAAATTTTGGCAATAACAAACAGTATTATCGCTTTTGGTTTTCAGGAAACGTTGCTTTAAACAAATGTTTTAAAAGTTTTTAAAGTTATTTTTTATATGTGATTTTGTATAACGATTGTGCACTGTCAGCTTATGTCTTATAAGTGCTTGACCTAACTGTAATGCTAACACTAAATCGATCGTAGCCTGACAGAACCACAGAGACAGCCAATCTTAACGTCAGCAAAAATGTATTTCTGTCACAGAGCTTGGTCATAAGAAACTAAAAATGTGATAAATGTCACATGTGATGATCTCAGGATAAAACATAACGGTGAAATAGGGGAGTTGGGAAGCTGAGTGAATTGTATCCGTGACATTAATGTGGGGGAAATACATCAAATAATTTGTAATATAAAACAAATGTAACAGAGGCCATGATTTTTTAATATCTCCGGTAGTGGTGATTCGGAACCTCTGGTTTACAAGTCTTACGCTTTGTCAAATGAGCTCCCTAACCGAGATGGTAGGAAACAGCTAGTATTGTACCAGAGTGACATACTCCCCGCCAGAAAAGACTTGTCTCGAGTTTTCCAGGGGTCATCGCGATTCCTTTTCAAGTGTCACTGAGAATTGTTGTCATATTTCCCAGGTCCCTCCGTGAGCGACAATGTAACAGAGGTCATGTTTTTGTCTCCGGTAGGAATCGAACCCGGGATCGCTGTTTACAAGTCTTTCACTCTACCGAATAAGCTAAAGAGGAATTCTCTCTAGCCGAGTGACACAAAAAGAGTTAATAAAGGTTTTACTCTTAACGATGTATTTTAAATCCGACTTATTTTATCTCTCCCTCAGTTCATAGATTCACCAAAAGGTCTTCTAGAATCAGGGGAGATAAGCTAGTCAGAAGAACTTAGCGGCTGGTAGTAAGTTTAGGTCTTCTACAGTAAACTGTGATCTTTTGCAATCGAACATACTTCGGCTATTTTCTTCGTAAGTCGACTTGACGGAAAAGACAGAAGCGTGTTCCGATTGTAAGCTTTTGTTGAGCTGTCACAATTTAACTTTGAGTTTTTTTAAATGATATTTTATATAAGATTTAATACATATTCTTCCAAATGCTATTTAATGTTGCTGTGTAACTTCAATGGTATATATATTTGTTCAGTAAAGAATTTAAAATAACAAATAATGTAACCTTGTACGTCATTCTTGTTGTTGTAGGTAACCGTTGGAACTGTGACCGGGAGTCCGGTAAGTGTGGGAAGGGTTTTGGCCCGCAGGAGGAGTTTTACGGCTGCGCTGACATTTCAATTTTAGACTTCCATTTATCCATGAAACCTCCTGTTTCGAAACCAGTTACTACAGTTCGACGAAAGTCCGGTCGGATTCGTAAACCTGGCGTCACGGAGGTCAAAACACCGACGAAAGCCGTACAAGTCCGAAACAACATCCTGCATAGGACATTTCAACCGGAGAAAAAGGCATTCAGCCCAATCAGACGCAAGTCCAGTCGGATTCGACCATCTGACGTCAGGGAGATTATAAATCCAAGGAAAACTGTACAAGTCCGAAACAACATCTTACATCGGCCACTTAAACCAGTGAAAAGGGCAAAAATTCATAAAAAGCCAACTTCAAAAACAGTTCGCAAAGGCGAACAATTGAATGATTTAGGTGGCGTTTTATGGAAACTTTTGAAAAGTTTGACGAATCGGGATTCGAATGGGCGAAACATTGCATTGGTCGAGTGGGACCCCGTAAGTCACTCCTATCAGTCGGACATTGTTTACGTACGTCCAAGAGAAGCCCACACTGGACAGACTGACCGCCTTTCTGTCAATAATGTGCGGTCAAATTGGCCCCCGGTGCGGCCCATGATCGTGGAAGCTTCTCTAGACAAACCACAGACTGGCCCGGTCATTTTGTCCGAGTCGCCATTTGACCAAGTTATTAAGAAAAATATATTGCCAACAGCTTTCGGAAATTTGAAAAACATTTCAACTTGTCAAGGAGTGAACAATTTTGCCAAAGTGTCAGGCATTGCAAAGTGGTGCACAGTCAACTGTAAAGCCGGAAACTGTCCGCCCGTGATGTGCACGTGCAGTAGGCATATCAATAGCGTGCCCATAGCGATTAGGCCTGATACGTCAATCATACGCCCCGTCCGTCCACTCTTACAATCCAGGGTACAAACCAATCGTATTTCTCATAAAACACAACCTAGTACCACTTCCGGTGTGTTACGCTGTAAAGGAAGCGGCCATTTTGCACGCGACCGGAAGATTTTAGCATGGTGCAACTCGAATTGTAACAAAGGGTTCTGTCCGAAACACATGTGCGTTTGTATATAGATGTTTATTTATAATATCAGTACTCGGAATCTGCATTAACATTCGAAATCGCCGCCAATTCCTACATCATCATCGACCATGGGCGGACATTCTCTCACTTTCATAGGTGTTTATTTTTATATTTAAGTGTCCAGTACAATGTCTAGCTATTTAAAGTATAAGAGAGGCCTTTTTATTGTCAACTGCTTGTTGGCTTACGAAAGACTGCATAAGGCGAGATTCAACAGACATTCCGGTGGTACAAGTAAAACGGGATACGTCATTGACACAAACCTCACTTTGAAATATACATATAACGTAATAAACTCGAACTTTTCAAATCAAAATCTGCGTTTCACGTTTATTCGCTCTTGCTCAAACACATACAATAGTGTATAACCTTCTCAAGTATCTCAGCTTGTGCTGACAATAATAATATACACGCTTTATTTTGCAGTCAATCAAACTACAAATATCAAGAGGTCCCAGAGGGATATTGGCGCCCACCATTGTACCATCTTCATCAGTTCTTTGTCAGTTTGATCCGTTTCCTTCTTTTCTCTTATCATTTTGATCGAGCAATTTTAACAGTAAATGCAACTTGAGGTAATATTTGATCAAAACTTTATACTGCTTTGTATAAAAGACAACCTTCAAGGTGAGTTTGTCATTTCACATATTTACTAGTACAGTACTTAATGTGAAAGAAATAGAACCGATCTACATATCAAATTAGCGATAGAACCCTCCAGTGCTTCGTGATAAAAAGCGATAACAAACCTACACTGCCAAAATCCAATATGGCTGCCCGTCGGCCATTATATTTTTCTGATCAGTCTCAAACAAGAGATCCCAGAGGGATCTTGGCGCCCACCTTTGTACCATCTTCATTAGTTCTTTGTCAGTGCGATCTTTTCTCTTCTTTCCTCTAATCTGTTTGATCGAGTCATGTTAACAGTAAATGCACATTGAGCTAATATTTGATCAAAACTTATTACTACTGTGTATGAAAGCCAACCTTCAGAGTGAGTTTGTCATTTCACATATTAACTAGTACAGTACTTAATGTGAAAGAAATAGAACCGATCGTCAAGTTGCAATATGAGAAAGATCTGTTTAGCTCCTTCTTCTGCCATTTTGTTTGTATGATCAGTCTCAAAATATAAAGGCTATGAATGCCAGACTGATTGTTGACGTCATATAATATTTAAGTTGGCTACCACTGACCCTCCCTGGGTGATGGTTGTTCTATTCTTTGAGCAAGCATACACGATACATACATTATTTGAACTAAATGCTGAATAATGATAAGTGTTATTCATTATTGATCTTTTATGAGTTGAACAGATTCCAAAATGTGTATGCAATCATCGCTACGATACTTGTGACGTCAAATGAAGTTTATAAAATGCACATGTTGTTCACATTTTAGGTTCATTCGAAAAGAAGATTATCAAATATAATCATGTTTTTTATTATTATTTATTTATTTTATGTATACCGACATCAACCCTATTCCGCTTTATTCAAAATTCCCTAGACGAAATCGGTTCGTTGCTCTGAAAAACGTTATATTGCACTTTGCACTTAAAACAGATCAAATTCCGTGGTTGCGAGGATCACGTGACCATGATTCTTTTTTACAATTGTTGAATATTTAAGACTAACATAAATATTTATTTACCCGAGAAAGACGATATTCCCAGAGGCCGAATTCGCAATGGTCAGAACTGCATATATGATGTCATGAAATCGAGGCCCAGACAGGGCGCGTGCCAACTACATATATATATATATATAATTATATATAAATGAACCGAAAATAGAAACCATATGATAAAGGACATTGGCACCAATTATGTGATCCTTTTTTGGAGATTTATAAGTGTCATGTATCCGGAATACTTTAGTATAAAGTTATGTTAGCACGTTGGAATCTCCACAAGTGCATATGACTGGTTTCGACCGTCGTCTATAACTAAATTACAATCGGAAACCCAGTGGACCACAGAATCCGAATAAGACCGACCGACTGCAATTGTCATTGAATTTCTGGAGAAATGAGACATTGATTTGAAATATTGGCGAATGGCTTTATCCCCTGCATTACTGGATTTGATAACCCCGCTGTACTAAATCCCTCAGACGGCTGATGATGAGAATAGACGAGAATCTGAGAAAAAAACAGGTGATTGGGGAGATCAAGAAAAAAAATACAGGCGGCCAAGTTTCAGTGCTTTGACGTTAAGCAGTGATATATTTGTTTGCACCAATCAAGACCATCTGTAAGTTTCAGCGTAACCGGTTCGTCACAAGTAAGAATAAATACTTTTAACATTCTACGTGCTCAAACTATGACATCGTATGAACCATTTAGTAGACAAGAGTATCAATATTTCAGCAATGCCTAAAAATCGGGTCAAATTTCTCCATCAACTGAAACAACCCAATATTGAGCAACGATGCTCGTCAAGAAATGGGTCAACTGGTTTTATAGAGGGCGAGCTCTAATCGTCCGTTTAAGTTGCACCCGGTGTTACTTGTACTCGTCCTTTTAAAATAAACATCCAAACACCGTAATATCTACACGACGATGTTTGCAAACGACCAACTACCACACTGAACCGGTAACATCTTGTTCAGAAGACCGGCACCCGAATTAACGAAATCGTTCCCATGCTCAAACTGGGACTGGACCGGTATTCACGAAACCGTTCCCATGCTCAAACTGGGACTGGACCGGTATTCACGAAACCGTTCCCATGCTCAAACTCAGATTGCGCCAGTATTCACAAAACCGTTCTCATGGTCAAACTCAGATTGTGCCTGTATTCAGGAAACCGTTTACGTGCTCAAATTCTGATTGCGCTCGTATTCACGACACGGTTGTCATGCTCAAACTCACATTGCGTCCGCATTAACTAAATCGTTCTAATGTTCAAAAACCCATATTCAAGAATCGTTGTCATGCTCAAACTCAGATTATTCGCTAAGCATATGTTAATGCTTTGAAGAGATTTGGAGAGACCTAAAGCCGAATACCATTTTCAACGTTTACATTTGAATTTTGGACCATGTCACATGATTTGAGCGAACTGCAGGACAGTTGGTTTGAGTACAGAATGCATGCTTGAGCATGAGGACTGTGTCATGATTACGGCCCCTGGATTCACTGGAATGGTTGGCAGAAGAATGGAAAACGGGTTTCAGTCCAAAATTAAGTAGCGCAAGAAATTCAAACAGAAAACTACCATCACAGACAAAATAAAAGAAAAATCCTCAGCTACATTCTATAATCGTCTTAAACACGTGTATAGGGGCGTGCATGCGTGCGCAGTTGTGTGAACAGTCGAGTACGATCTTTGGTAATTTTGAAACACATTGTAATTTACGTAAATAAAATTTTGAAACAGCAAGCATGATATTGATGACGTGACGTGCTTACCAATTTTTACTACATTTGTGTATCAGCTTAATAAAAATGTCACCTCTTGAGATGGGTACACGTACTTTTGTATGGTACATTTCTGCTTATAATTCTTATAGGCGAGGTAAGGTAATGGAAGTGGTCAGTCTTATCAAAATCAAATCCATTTCGTTCTTCTTAAAGATAGATAACGGTACAGTTGATCATACATCTTGTTCTGGCGATCCTTCATTCAATACCACATGCTAATTGAACATACCTTGGTGTTTTTCAACACTGCTGAATCTGAGGGTGATATTTTTGATTTGCTAGAGTGAAATATATTGCTAGAACATGACCTTACAATCAAAATCGTTACGGCTTCAACAAGCCGTGTTCAAAAAGAACACGCCCACAAACCGAACGGTTGTTTCAGCGTGTCACTCGCTGCATCTGGTTCGTCGATTGATCGATAGAACGTTTGAGGTCGGTGTCGCCCTTGATTTCAGAAGCAGTGTACAACATTGTATCTTTTTCGGAGACTTGTTGTTTGCGCGCATCGTCAGCTTAAGATTACGCATACACGTATATGGAAATGTAAAATTTACATTGCATGTACATGTTTCGAACCATGTGACATGACTTTAATGTTTCGTTGAATGTGTACTTATCCACATTTTTGTGAACTATAATGGTATTTATGATTACAAGAGGGAAAAATGAAGAACATTACAAATGCTTGAAAGCTGTCCATACCGGCCGCTGCACTGAAACGTAATATCATAGAGCGGTGCAAGATGTAACGTTTACATGCAAATGTATACGTGTTAAATATACTTGTAAATGTTCAAGCTACATCCATATATATCTATATTAATTAATTGCCATATTAGACTGTTTCGTTGAGCATATCCACATGCTATTGCGTACACAGGGACTTGACACGTTCCTATGACCCAGAATGAAAAATCATACCTTTCATTTTGGGTCATAGGAACGTGTGATACGGTGTTATGTCCTTCGTAGTGGGAAAAAGTACAGGATTTGATTTAAATCAAATTGTGAAATTGGTTCATAATTTCATTACCATGTAGTGTTCAAAATATTGTTTTCGTATATATATGACGTACTAAGTTTGCTGACCTGTGGTTTGAAAAGAACATCACGCACTAGCAAATTCTGTTACAAGGAAAATGCCTCTGAACAATAGCCGATGACCAACCGTCCTCACAATATCCAGTCGTTTCGCCAAAGAGCATACCTTTACTACTACTTCTAAAACTATTAAATGACACAGATAAACATACTTGTGCAAATGTGTCAACCACATCAGAATAGAAGTAAAAAAAACTTGTTAAATATCTTCTTCAGAATCACGCCAAGCATTGCCACATGACAGACTCCCGGAATCTCTCTACAGTGTGTGTCTGTAAGGTTTCACAAGGGAGGCTGCCCTAGTAGATTACTTAGTTGTTCTTAGGATAAAGCTGTACAAGAAGACATCCGTTTACGATCTGATCCGAGAGAATTGTTTTTGAAGGTATCGTTTTATTATTACTGACAATTTGGTGATGTCAGAGATATCGACACAGCTTCTTAATAAGATGCACACCTCTCCCGACGTTGTCCAACCCAGGTTCCTGGAATGTTAGTTACAGTTCTAGGTTCCTGGATACGGGATGACGTCACAAACAGAACAGCTCTCCTCTCCACTATCTTTATTGTCTTTACGCGCATCTTCTTCCGAGTACTGTCATTTGTTCCAACACCGAAGAAGGCTGTACAATAGTCCTGTTTGCCTGATCCTTGATATATTGAAAGACAACTGTTGATGTTCTGCCGGAGGAAGCCTTGGGTTGGGTTCGCTTCATTCTTGCTGTTATCCTTTTGGTGATTTTTTCCCATCCTAGGTATTCCGACAGTTCAACTTCTAACTAAAGAGTGGTGAATTGTCTCCAACTTGTGCCCACCCCACCCATCATATAGTGGTCAGATGATAGTAATGTATACGTAACACACAGTATGTCTTTACTTCAGTGTAAAAAAAAAAAAACATTTCCTAATTTCAAATCTAGCTCCATGACAAGTTTAATACCTTGATTTTGACTTTCACAGTCACCTCCGATATGCCTAACTAGTACGTATGCGAAACTGTCCATACGCCATTGATTAATCTTAAAACAATCTTTGATAAAGCGACAGTTGGTTATTCAGTTCTTAACGGCCCATCAACACTGAAGAGGTCTTTAGGACTAATAAGACATGGAGTATAAAGTGACAGGCTTTGACCTTTGACCTCCAAATACATTACAGATATGTACGTTTTAGAAAAAAAGCATACCTATATATTAAGATACTGAAAAAATCCACGACATAATGAACTCAAGAAATTTTATAGCTATCAATTTATTTTCAATATAAACATAAATTAGAGGATATCTGTTTTGTGCGATTTTGCCACTAAGACTGTTAACTGATAAAACTATTCTCATGTTCAAACATGATTTTTGCCAATTCCAAATTTTAGTTCGAGATAAATTTAGTTAATTTTTCTTTTTTTTTGTAATTAGCAAAGACTTGTAGCTGTCTGCTATTCATTGTTAATCAATTACACTTTGAACCAGGAAGTTGATTTGAGCACATTACTGAAGTTTGACAATGAGAACGGGTTTATGAATACAAGGCCCAATAAGTTAAACACACAATTGTACAATAGATGTATTACATACCTATAGAGAAAGCCTTTAACAACGGTCTTTACCTTCGTTTTTCATCTGTTTCACAGGTTCTAATTTTAGGCTTTGACCTTTGAACTACTGTACTGTACTACGGGATGACAGATTATTCATGATTTTTCAGATGGTTGCCTCTTAAACACTACATACCAGCAAGTTTAACAACTGTTTCACTTTCGCCTTTTTTGCCCTCTAGATTTGAGGGCAAATTTACCATGTCATGGCAGTAAATAGTAGTACAGTACATACCTTACATGTACCTGGTATACTGTTATTACATGTGAAGGGTGAAATTTACACTAGACAAACACGAATGTACCTGTCAAAGGGAAAAAAAATTCATCGGGTGAGAGTTCTCCCAATCCCGATATACAATATTCACTTGAATACTATGAACAATGATCTAAACATGAATCAGGAATGTGTAATTTCCTTTCAAAATGCTATTCCATAAAATGGTCTTTATATGTAATATTTAGATTTTGACCTTCACTTTTTTTTATTCCAAACAATAACCTGCTTTTTTAATTCTAAATAACGACTTAAACATTTATAACGTTTATAACCTTCCCTTCCAAGATGCTCATCCATGAAATATTGTATATTTAAAGTTGAACTTGACCTTTGGTCATGGTCACTGCAATGACCTTTGGTCATGGTCACTGCAGAAATTATCATATCAGCTGTTTGAGTCCCTAATGTCCACTACCATAACAGTCACATTGTCCGAACTCAGTCTTAACACTGCCGTGTTGGCCAATTTCTTGACCGCACTGTCCAGTTTAATATCAATGGCCGACTGTGCATCTGTGCCCTGTAAACGCTCATCCTGAAATATATGACAAAACCCATAACAATGTATGACAATACCCATAACAATGTATGACAATAACCATAGAATGTATGACAATAACCATAACAATGTATGGTTATTGTCATACATTGTTATGTTATTGTCATACATTCTATGGTTAGTGTCATACATTGTTATGGGTATTGTCATACATTGTTATGGTTATTGACATACATTCTATGGTTATTGTCATACGTTCTATGGGTATTGTCATACATTCTATGATTATTGTCATACATTGTTATGGTTACTGTCATACATTCTATGGTTATTGTCGTATATTATATAGGTATTGTCATACATTCTATAGTTATTGTCATACATTGTTATGGTTACTGTCATACATTCTATGGTTATTGTCATTCATTGTTATGGTTATTGTCATACATGCTATGGTTAGTGTCATACAGTCTATGGGTATTGTCATACATTCTATGATTATTGTCATACATTGTTATGGTTATTGACATACATTCTATGGTTATTGTCATAACAATGTATGACAATAACCATAGAATTTATGACAATAACCATAACAATGTATTACAATAACCATAGAATGTATGACAAAAACCATAACAATGTATGACAATAACCATAGAATGTATGACAATACCTATATAATATATGACAATAACCATAGAATGTATGACAATAACCATAACAATGTATGACAATAACCATACAACATAAGACAATACTTATATAATATATGACAAAACCCATATATGACAATAACCATAGAATGTATGACAATACCCATAACAATGTATGACAATAACCATACAACATAAGACAATACTTATATAATATATGACAATACCCATATAAAATATGACAATATCCATACAATATAAGACAATAATCATATATAATATATGACAATACCTATATAATATATGACAATAACCATACAATATAAGAAAATACTTATATAATATATGACAATAACCATACAATATATGACAATAACCATACAATATAAGACAATACCCATACATAATATATGACAATACCCATATAATATATGACAATACCCATATAATATATGACAATAACCATACAATATAAGACAAGACTTACATAATATATGACAATAACCATACAATATAAGATAATACCCATATATAATATATGACAATACCCATAAAATATATGACAATAACCATACAATATAAGACAATACCCATATATAATATATGACAATACCCATATAATATATGACAATAACCATACAATATAAGACAATACCCATATATAATATATGACAATACCCATATAATATATGACAATAACCATACAATATAAGACAATACTTATATAATATATGACAATAACCATACAATATAAGACAAGACTTATATAATATATGACAATAACCATACAATATATGACAATAACCATAAATATATAAGACAATACCCATATGATATATGACAATAACCATATAATATATGACAATACTTATATAATATATGACAATACCTGCATAATAAATGATAATGAAACAGCTTTTTCATGGTCATCATTGAAATATAATCATAACTTGATCAATAAATACATTTTTATTATTATAACGGCCTATCAACGCAAGAGGTCAAGTCAACAGGGCCAACAAATGGTCGCCAAAAACAAATACAAAATAAAAACAAGAGGCCCAGGGGCCTTAATAGCTCACCTGGTATTTTATTTTTTAATTTAAAACCTGCTGAGTACCATTCAGGTTTATCAAAGGAGTACAAGTAACAAAGTTGCATTTTCCATTTATAAATATTCAATTCCCTTTGCCCAAAGATTCTCTAAAACAAGTTTGGTTAGGTTAAAATCCCTTCAACGGTACAGAAGGAGAAGGATCTTTAATGTTTTCCTCTATTTCCCCTAATGGGCCCCACTAATCTGCCCCAAAGAAGGGGAATCCACACACCTCAGTTTAAACAAAATTGATTCTTTTCTCCCTAAGCATGCTTCAGACTGCATTTGGTTTAAATCCCTTCACTTGTATAGTAGGAGAAAAAAAATCCTCTATTTCCCCTATTGGGCCCCGCTCCTATGCCGCCAGAAGGCCCACACCCTCCGTTTATACAAACTTGAGTCTCCTTTGTCCAAAGATGCTCTAGGACAAATTTGGTCAAAATCCTTCAATTGGTTGAGGAGAAGATTTTTAAAGATTTACCTATTTTCCCCTATTTGGCCCCGTCCCTCTGCCCCCAGGGGGACCATACCCTCCGTTCATACAAAACTGAGAACCCTTTGGCCAATGATGCTCCAGACCAAATTTGGTCAAAATCCCTTCATCGGTACAAAAGGAGAAGGATATTTGATGTTTTCCTCTATTTCCCCTAATGGGCCCCACCCATCTGCCCTTAGAAGGAGGCCCACACACCTCAGTTTATACAAAATTGATTCTTTTGTCCCTAATCATGCTTCAGACTGCATTTGGTTAAAATCCCTTCACTTGTATAGCAGGAGAAAAAAAATCCTCTATTTCCCCTATTGGGCCCCGCCCCTCCGCCCCCAGAGGGGCCACACCCTCCGTTTATACAAACTTGAGTCTTCTTTGTCCAAAGATGCTCTAGGACAAATTTGGTCAAAATCCTTCAATTGGTTGAGAAGAAGAACATTTTTAAAGATTTACCTTTTTTCCCCTTATTTAGCCCCGCCCCTCTGCCCCGAGGGGGGGCTATACCGTCCGTTTATACAAAACTGAGAACCCTTTGGCCAATGATGCTCCTGACCAAGCTTCAGACTGCATTTGGTTTAAATCCCTTCACTTGTATAGTAGGAGAGAAAAAATCCTCTACTTCCCCTATTTGGCCCCGCCCCTCTGCCCCCAAAGAGGCCACACCCTCCGTTTATACAAACTTGAGTCTCCTTTGTCCAAAGATGCTCTAGGACAAATTTGGTCAAAATCCTTCTATTGGTTGAGAAGAAGAAGATTTTTAAAGATTTACCTATTTTCCCCCTATTTGGCCCCGCCCCTCTGCCCCCAGGGGGGTTATACCCTCCGTTTATACAAAACTGAGAACCCTTTGGCCAATGATGCTCCTGACCAAATTTGGTCAAAATCCTCTGAGCCGTTCAGGACAAGTAGCATTTTAAAGGAAAAAGTTGACGGACGCCAGACGATGGACGATGGACGACGGACGCTGCACCATGGGATAAGCTCACTTGGCCCTTCGGGCCAGGTGAGCTAACAACATCAAACAAATGTAAAGGTAAAAGACAAACGTCAACTTGAATATTGAAAATGGCTATGGTGACTCATGATTTTTAAAAAGTGCAACAGCTTTCAGAAGAAACAGATTTAAGACGTGTAAGGTAGTTATAGATTTTTCTCAAGTTGGCTGAAGGTCGATGCAATTTTATAATTGTTTTACTGTAATGGTCCTTTACACGCTATGCATTGAGGCTGGTCTTCACCTTTCAATAAATAACAATGGGTAATGTATGGATGACCTGTCGAATGAATAAAAAAACAATGATTTACCTCTAAAATGGAGTTTGTAAATTTGATACATTCTTCGGGTGAGAAAGCTTTCCATAAACCATCACAGGCGATCACAAGGTACCTAAAAGTAAAGAGACATCACCACACAGTGTTTGTCATCAAAGAAGCTAAACTTCCTAAAACAATCACAACGTACTCTTAGATAATGAAACACTACATTTGTTGTTAAACAGCTTCTAAAATAAGAGATATCATCACTAGTCAGCAAACAAATCGACCAATCAAGTAGCAGTATGCTACTTAATTATGCCTCGATCTTGCTAAGACTCAAATTAAGCGGCTACACCTGGTACAATTTTAGTTGCTGAGGAAGTTATCATTCGGAAATCAGTTTATCTAAACACAGGCTTTGCTCATCATCAAACTTGGTCTGAAGACTTTGCAGATCATTGTACCTATAAAATTTCATGCAAATTCAAAGATTTCATGTGAAAACAAAATAGTTAACATGTGGGCAAATTGACTGACCCAGCGCCATAATTCAACCATCACAGTTGTACAAAAGCATTGCATTATTCTTTTAAGAGTTACACAAACTAATACATGTATATAAATTCATCTTAATTTACATTTGTTGGCATTGAATATATATCCTACCATTACCAACCTGTAATTACCCCTAATGTAACATAAAAATTAATCACCCACCTGTCATTGGTGGTTAACTGACATTTCTTCATATCTGGTAAACAGGTGACGCCATGTTTCTTGTACTGGCCATCACCAATGGATCGCGATACATCGAGGACTCCCATTACACGGCCCTCCCTGTCAACAGGAATAAATTCATTTTAAAAGGACCTCACTAAAGCAGGTAGTCAAATCACAGCAACACATAGCTCCCCCTATGAACAGGAACTGAAGCAAGCAAATGAAACACACACAAATTCGGTGTCTGCGAATTTTTCTTGTGACTGCATCAGTCCAATTATCTATGAGAGCGACTACCAAAGGTCAATTAAAGGGCGAGTTTGATCATCAACTATAGCGACTGTGGTCTTACTAGAGTACGATCAAACTCATTTCAGTAACGTGTATCGCGCATGTGTAAAGAAACAAGAAGTTACGGTGAGCATGACTGGCGACTATAGTACAATCTATCGCTTTCCTTTGGTCGGACCAGAGCAACTAGTGGTCGTCTGTGTATGCGTGAATATTTGAAAGCAATGCAATGATTGGTTGTTGCTTACCAGCATGTGTAAGCACATTTAATGTAACAGCTCGACTATGGTAAATGGTTGATGATCAAACTCACCCAAAGCCACCTGAAAATATTACCTAAACTAGGCCTGAAAGTTGTTAAACAAAGCATGCCCAAAGATTTGACAAGACAAAGGGGTAAGAAATGGCGCTACAAATTTTAGGAACTTGCTTAGCTAACAACTGGGATCCATTCCATTTCTGATGCATGTACTAATGTTCCTTCGTGCCAAGACTCGCTTTCATTTAGAACTGAATCAAATAAATGCAAGAAAACAAAACCTGCCATTAATATTGAATTGGTTTATCACAAAATGGCAAAGTTTTTATTAAAATTATTCTGCGTTTTATCTCTAAACAATTGTAAGAAATGTATTAAATTCTGACTGATGTCTGTTCTGTCCCGTAGGAAGGGAGATAACCCATACTTGACAGAACCTCCAGCTTTCTGTATCCTGATTCGCTCCTCATACGATGATGGGTTGTGTACAGTGGTCAAGTGGATAGGCACATGTTTGTCTTCTTTCCTTCGACACAGGAACACCTGAGCAATGACATATGAATTGACTATTGTGGGAACTTTCCATTGTTTTGATTTTATCCAGTTCATCTGGCGTATTATTTGAACCTTTTAACGAATTATAACAGACACTCAAGTCCAGTTTTCAAGCTATCCAGGCTGAAGATCTGATATCTTAATGAAGTCCGCCATTTTCTCAAACTATTGAGACAATAATGCTGATTGGCTCTTCATACTGCTAACTGATTTTCTAAATTTCACGAGCTATTAAATGTTGAGGTCACAAAAGTGACAGAAAATGGTTGAATTAATTCAGATTTATGATTTTTAGCTTTGCCAATTTGAAAACTGGACTCAGTTGTCCGACATGATAATATAAGTGTATGGCATATCATACAAGTGAATTTCTTTCCTATCGTAGAAGCACTGTACTGACAATGTAATGTGTATGTGCGATTAGTACTAATATTAATACCAACCTCCTCTGCCCCGGCCAAATCTCTCGTCATCAGAAAGCTATGTTATACGCTAACGTGCCATATACATGTGTTTGGCACTACCTACTAGAGGGATTTACTGTGTCATCCCGGAGACAGCACAGTGTCTGACCAACTGAAATATTACATTTGTTTATGCTTCATGAAGTCTACTGTAAATGATACAGCATGATATATAGTATCATACGTCTAATTGAAGCAAAATACATTTTCCTGTTGATCTTGACTGCTTCCGGCACGATAGTACAAACAGTTATGATGCAATTGTATGTTTTCTGGATAATTTTACTAGGGGGACAGAGTTAGCTACCTTGTTTATATCACGGGTGTTTTGACAGACAAGGCTAGTACCTGTGATGTGTCTTCATTTCCTACTGAGCTTCATTCAACCCTATGATCTGTACTACATTTGAGAGATACGGTGAGAAAAACAGACCTGACTATCGCCAAGGTTAGCCGTGTAGACGGTGTCATTCACTATCAGAACAATGGATGCCGTTGTGCCATCCTTCCAAGATGGTTTACTGCAAAAATAACAAGTCTTCATTAGTTCCATCTAGGACAGATAAATTCTCTTCTTTTCTTATCTATTGAACAGGTAGTCATAACAACAGTAAAAGCTTCAAGTGGACCTTTGATTAAAACTTTGTTTTTTAATTGCAATGTTTTAAAGTGTCCTTTCAAAAGTGGGGTTGTCTTTTAGCTTATTGTGATATAGAAATGATAAACTTCAACTTTTGAAACCCAGGATGGCCACCAGGTAGAAAACATGTTCATCAGTCTCAAAATTGAACATGTACCAAAAAGCAGCCATCTTCTTTTTAATCAGTTTCGAACAAATGAAATCTGAAATAGATTCATGCAGCATTTCTCGAAAAATTCCAATAACAACATCTTTTTAAGGATTCATCATGGATAACAGACTGCAGACAGAAGACAATTTGAATAGCCCATCAACTGGGCCTGTATTCATGAAACCATTTTTTCAGCGCAAATTTCTTTAAACACACTCTAATGATGTGAAATGGTCAAAAATTCCGGTGTAACCATTTTAAATAACTTCAGTCACTTCAATTTTTTTGCAAATCCTAAACAAAATAGTTTGTTCTTAATTTATCACCGGAACAAGAAATCAAGCCTGAGCACAGAATCCGAGTTTGAGCATGAGAACGGTTTCATGAATATGGGCCCTGATGTTGGTGTGCTAAAGATGTAATGGAAATGTTAATTAAATATACACCACTGCAGGATAATATACCTCCTAGTTGCCAGCTTGAGGAATTCATCATCAGTTCTTTTGCATGTCTCCACAAAGACTTTTTTTATCTCTTTGTCAACCTGGGTTATGTCCCCTGTAAGGAACAAATGCCAACCTATATTAAGTTGAAAACATTTACAGAAAACATCTGAACAATTCTAGGTGTGCAGCGACTTGGCAAGTACAATTTATGCTCGGTACTGTGTGACAGAGTATCAGTTTGATATTATAACAAATATTTTGTTCATTAACGACAGCATTAATGGAGACTCCAGGTAAATGTATATGAAAATACTTAGTATAACATACCTATTATGGTAATAATTATTTATACTTAAATAATCAGCAGTAATTTGAAAACATACTTTAAAACACATACACAACTGTACACAATTTTAAAATTCAATCAGCTTTGAAATAGATCAAAATAATGCAAGGTTAAATTGCCCAGAAGAATTTCCCAAATTTTTGAGATATCAAAGTTTAGAATGTTTTAATTGCTATCAATGTGTCGGAACCTTTCTTTCTTGTCATACTTTACCCTTAGGGAAATTATCTCGCAGAATTTTATGCAAATGCTCGGATGCAAACCTGGAAGCCCTAGCGCCACCGTGGCCATCAAAGACAGCATACAGAGCCACACGTACACTGTAAGGCAAACGGGAAAATATACCGCTATGTACTTTTATACTATTTCCTTTGAAATAATACAGATATCTTTGGATTTACTATAATCACCAGAGATCGTGCACAAGTTCTCCTTGAAAATTTATATTTTCAGTTGAAATTTTATGTTTACATTTATATTTTCAGTTGAAATTTTATGTTTACATTTATATTTTCAGTTGAAATTTTATGTTATCAGAAAAAATATGCATACCTGGTAATTGATTTTTCCTTATTCTTTCAATTTCAATATTATTAAGGAACCCAATCCATTATAAACAATTTCTGAAATATGTACTACAGTCATTTATACTTGGGTGCACTAGAGTTAACATTGTAGTGAACTGGAGTGCACTTCAATGTTTTGTCTAGTGCACTTCCTTATTCACTATATGTGCATGACAAAGTGCACCAGATACCAAGTCAAGTTTGCTACCAACTGTAGGTTTACATGTACAAACATATGCAAAACAAATAAAATTATTTATGTTTCCAGATATCTGAACTTAAAGTGTTATTGTATCAACCCCTTGCAGCTATATATAAAATCCATGTTTTTATTTGTAAGAGATGTGTCTTCCAGAAGTACAAGAGCTACCACAACAGATAGACTGTATGTCCCTTCAGCAAAATCAAATATTTTTTTAAATGCTCTTTTAGCTACAGTTGCTTTGTTTTATGGAATGCACTTAGTGATGTTATTAAACAGTCATGCAGTGTAGATGTTTTTAAAATGAAATACATCGAAATGTTTTACAGTAAGTAATAAGTGTGATACATAATGATATCTGTGATATTTATCAATGAATATATGCTTCTTTTATTAAGATTGTATTATTATCATTCTACCATTATAATTGTCTTATTAAGTCTGTACATATATGCATAACAGGGCCGTATTGTAAACTAGACTATGTCTAAATATGTAACCCTGTAAAATAAAAGATATCATTATTATTATTACAAGAGAATGGGGTAAATAGGTCAAATACTTACATAGACGGATCCAGATTGTTTAATTCTGGTGTAAAATCATCAATCAGAATGTGTGCATCCTGCATTTCTCCTCTCTCTCCACGTCTCTCAGCCACATAGCCCTTCAGTCTAAACAGGACTAAAGGAACCAGAACACCAAGGATGATTTCATAAATACAAAAAAGTATACATTAAAATCTTCACAAATTGGTAGGTTTATGTCATTTCTAAAGATGAGATTGAAGGTTTACCAAATTTGTACCTCAATCATGTTATTGCTGTAAGCTATATAATGATGCTAATAGTAGCCGGGTTAGACAATAAGGGTAGCCAGATAGTCTGAAACTATTTAAATTAAATCCCCAGCTGGATAACAGCTGTAAAACTGCTAGCTTCATGGACAACTCTAAAATTGATATTAATTACTTATCATGTTAACTAATGTTGGGTAAGTGGAATTTGCACATGGACTTACTTGAAACTACTTATCAAAACTGACTATTTTTTTAATTTTTTATTTATAATATAATAATAATATACAATATTTGATATAGCACCCTATCTAGCTAACATAAGCCACTCTTAAGCATTTTACAGTACATATATACACAATTAATACAATTAGGATATACAAATTTTTTTTAGGAATTTGCAGGAGCTGCCTTATCAGGCGCTAACTACTAGTCCTATGTCACCTGGCTGATATCTCCCCATGTGTGTATGCCTGCGTGTGTGCTGGAGATGTATTGTGTTCTGTTTGTAGTGGGACCGTGCTTCCAACGGCATCTTTTATAGCGCCACCTCACTTGAATGCTACATCACAGATACCGCAACATCCACCCCAGATCCTTGTATACTCCATCTGGGTTGTTGGAGTTGTGTGGGCAGGAGAAAAACACTTTCTCTGATACTCCATGCATGCGATGGCTTTAGGGATCGAACCCTGGCCGCCTGCGTGGAAGGCCGAAGTGTTAACCACTCAACCAATCTACCCCAATATAGCCCTGAGTAGACTTTTTTTGTAGAATGTAAAATATAGGGAGACTGATGTAACTGGAAAAACAAACAGCATTTCTATTGCCCTTAATATCAATTAAAACTCTAACAACTAATATATTAATATATATATATTATTCTATTTTTTTATTGTTAAAATGTTCCATTAATCTAATTTATTAGTACTTAGTTGTAAAAACTTATTTTTTCATCCATTCAGTCTTTTAACATAGGATTGATTTGTGGGTCAATGACTTTTGAATACCGGAAAGGCCCATGCAATTTGCACACTTTTTTTCAGAAATTTAATACCCAAAGTGGGGGATGAGCAAAATACATGGGTAAAAGCAAATTCAAGTTTTTTTCATGAAAAGATCGACGACTCCTGCAAACAATACTTATGAACTTACTTATAATAAACAAATTACAAAAATCCTAAGAATCAAAAGCAGTTTGTCTACCATTTTTAGAGATCGATTTTCGGAACTTGAACATTGTTTTTTTCACAAAAAAATTTGGGTGCGCAAAATATTTGAGTGGAAGTTTTTGGGGGATTTTCAGCCTCAAAAATAACCTGCGCAAATTACATGGGTTTTTATATGGTATCTGTTGCATGCTTGATTGATATTATACATTTTTTTAATTCAACAAGCAAGGATGTCATTCAAGGTTGATTAAACTTTGGAAAATGACCTTCTTTGAATAAATTATTTCATTACATGAATTCACTCAAAAATATGGCATCATTTGGTTTTTTTATCACAAAATCTCACAATTCGGTATACATGTATATATCAGGGTATAAACTTTACCAGCAGCTTTTGTCCTGCTGATGGCCTTGTCTAAAAATGTATCTGTCATGTCTTTTCTCTTTTCTCCTCTTTCTCCCTCCTGGTTGACCTTTCCCTCTGCTCCAGTTTGCAAGTTATTGCTTGCAGTCACAGCTGCAATAAAAATAACAGAAATAACATTAGATATTCTTCATATCAAGAGCGAAGTTTTCAGCAAGAATGTGAAAAAAGGTGGGAATACAAATATCTTAATTATTGTACCCCATACTTCGAAAAACATTTTCTTTGACTACGCTTTTCCATATAAAAATTGGAATTTTTACCAGTGTATATACCAATCCATTACATGCTGTATCAGGTATTATTTTTTTTCAATTTATAACTGTTACAAGATTCATTTGCAAATACTTTCTTGTGACTTAGTGGTCAGTGCCTTACCATGCCCCAAGTCTTAACAGATAGGTCGTTTCAATGATGACTTTGATTGAAAAAAAAGTGGGACAAAAAACCCAGACCAGCCAGCCAACCAATTATAATCATTTCATGTGTGCAGACAGATGCGAGTTCAAAATCCTAGGCTATTGCAAGTTACTTATGTTGGGGTCCAAACATTTCAGTACTCAGTCCTTTTGGTACTTGTTAAGACATTTCGGGACACCCAAAAAAATGTTGCTGTTTTTTAGTTCTTCAGCATTTTTCAAAACATTCTATTCTTATGTACTAAATCCACAGGGTAGGTACCCGAAATGTCTAGAAACGGACCTTAACTCTCGAGGACATGCAGTGATTGCTGTCATTGAATGCTTGTAAGTACCCGGTGACTTACATTTGATTTATATTACTGGTGAACAAAATTAAAATTCCGCGTGCACGACTCACTAAAAGTAACATATACTATGCATAATATATACACATCATATTATTATTCGTGTGCAGCACCTGTGCCCTTGTGTAGATCCAAGTCAGAAAACTGGCAGCTGAGTGCCCTGAAATATCGAAGATGAAGGAAAATCATGATAACATCAGGTGGGTTTTTTTAAGGTTGTACTGTGCCCTGTGTATATAAGGCAAAGTGACTTGTAAAACTGCTGATGTGCTATCTTAATCGTAACAATATTTACTTGGTTCTGGTAGGTCACCAAACAAATCCAGTTTCTCTCGATTCGCTGTGGAGTCACCGGAAACGACAAATGGAGCTATAAAATAGGAGCATGTTAATTGTAAAAAAAATCCATTAATCTAATTTATAAGTACTTAATTGTAAATATTAACAATTTATTTGTTATAAGAACTTATTTTTTCATCCATTCAGTCTTTAAACATAGGATTGATTTGTGGGTCAATGACTTTTGAATATCTGTTGCATGCTTGATTGATTTTATACATTTTTTTAATTTAAACAAGCAAGGATGTCATTCAAGGTTGATTAAACTTTGGAAAATGACCTTCTATAAATAAATTATTTCATTATGTATGAATTCACTCAAAAATATGGCATCAAATTTATTTTTTGATCACAAAATCTCACAATTAGATATACATGTATATATCAGAGTGTAAACTTTACCAGAAGCTTTTGTCCTGCTGATGGTCTTGTCTAAAAATATATCTGTCATTTCTTTTCTTTTTTCTCCTCTTTCTCCCTCCTGGTTGACCTTTCCCTCCTTGTTGTTCTTTCCATCTGCTCCAGTTTGGAAGTCATTGCTTGCAGTCACAGCTGCCATAAAAATAACAGAAATAACATTATTTATTCTTCATATCAAGAGCAAAGTTTTCAGCAAATGCATTTATATGAATGAAAAGGTGAAAAAGGTGGGAATACAAATATATTAATTAAGCTTCCTTATATTATTGTACCTCATACTTCGAAAAACATTTTCTTTGACTACCCTTTTCCATATAAACATTTGAGTTTTTACCAGTGTATATACCAATCCATTACATGCTGTATCAGGTATGGATCAGGAATTGCAAGTTACTTGTGTTGGGGTACAAACATTTCAGTACCCAGTCCTTTTGGTACTTGTATAAGACGTTTCGGGACACCCCAAAAAAAGTTGTTTTTTTAATTCTTCAGCATTTTTCAAAACTTTCTATTCTTATGTACTAAATCCACAGGGTAGGAACCCGAAACGTCTGGAAACGGACCTTCACTCTCGAGGACATGCAGTGTTTTCTGTCATCGAATGCTTGTAACAGTAAGTATCCTGTGATTTAGACTTGATTTATGTTACCTGTATTGTAAACAAAATTAAAATTCCGTGTGCACGACACACTAAAAGAAATATATATACTATTCATAATATATACCAGAGACGTATATCTATACGTCTCTGTATATACACATCATATTAGTAATATTCGTGTGCAGCAACTGTGCCCTTGTGCAGATCCAAGTCAGAAAACTGACAGAGTGTCCTGAAATATCGAAGATGAAGGAAAATCATGATAACATCAGTTTTGTTTTAAGGTTGCACCGTGCCCTGTGTATATAAGGCAAAGTGGTGTGAAAAAATGCTGATGTGCCATTTTAATTGTAACAATATTTACTTGGTTCTGGTAGGTCACAAAACAAATCCATTCTCCAGAGTCACCGGAAACGACAAATTGAGCTATAAAATAGGAGCCGGTAAGAAATATTTTCCGGATTTGTTCGGTTCTACCGCCCGACTATTTTACGATAAAATAAAGTACATGTACATTTAATAAGACACGTGTACTTACAAAAGTTATAAAGTATATCACCTTCAGGAAACCCATTATAACTCTGAGGATGTATATTTTTATTGTCCCACTATATCCTGCTGTTCCTTTCGGTGCTGTTTCCATGGGAACTTGCCTTCATATGACCGAAACTGTGCAAGGGCGTTAAACCTCAACCAAACAAACAAATCCAAAACCGGATGCAAAATAATCTTGTTCGTTTATTAACAATACGATAGCTTTTATTCGGAAAATTTTTCACCAGTTTGGTATGAATAATAGATACTACTGAAGTTTGTTTTGAGCATAAACAGGAATTGAAAACGGGTAATGTGTTTACCAATTCTGCCCCTTAGTAGGTGAACAGAGACGAAGGGGCAACTAGCTGAGTCATCTGTATGATGACCCCATTTTAACCTCCACTAAAAGGCAGAATTGGTAATCACGTTACCCGTTCCCCTGACTTCAGTGCAATTGGGCGAAATGTCTATGATTTTTGACAACTGACTTTACTACAAGTAATTCGGCACACTGTGGCTTAATTTTAGTGAGTTGTTTTCAGCGGTTTAGAGTCAAGACTGAGGTCCGTCATTTACACTCTTTGCTTGACAAAGGAAACAGACGTTTTCGAAAGCTCGCAAAATAAGTTTTCAATATTCCTGTTTGTGTTAAAAACAAACCCAGCCTTTAATACAGTAGCTTGTTTTTTTAAGCTGGGAGACAGGGGTAGTTTTAAATGATCTTAAGCCGGGGTGTCTGTGTTCCAATGAAGTTTCTACCAAGTCGATTGGTCTTAGGAAAAAAACATGTCGTTGTCAAGCAGTTATTGGTCTTTTACGTTCTTCTGTAGTTTGAAAGGTTTCTAATCCACATTTTATTGAAATACCCTAAAATGTTGCTTTATATAATCATTTCAAATTTCATATGCACGATATACACCTACGTTCCATGTCCTTTCCTGACAACCCTAAGTTTTAAACATGTCATACCTTGACACATTGCCCCTGTTTTGTCTTCACACATTAACAATCATTCAGTTGTCAGTTCTTCCCTATGTAACATGAATAATGTAACCCTTTTTATTATCCCGGGTATTGTAAGGACGTTAATACTCCTTTAAATATATGTACAACTCTGATTTATAAATATAGATACCTTTAGCTGGCTACATAAATAAGTATTGTAAATAGCAGCTTTGCCAGGCAACGATAAGCCTATCTCAATAACCGGGCTTTGTATGGGAGATAGCTATATAGCACGGCTGTCTCTTTTAAACGCCTGTCATACAGTTTGCGTTGCTGGCGAAACTACATCCACGGTAAGTTCAACAATTTTACCAATATTTGTGTATATATTCCTTTTCGGATAAATCCAACACTTTTATCATAATATGTATATGTCATATAATATGTAGTTGGTGTAACTATATTAGTAAATATCTGACTGATGGCGAGGTTAACTTGAAACTTTTATTCTAAATATAAAGTGAATGCTAGATGAACATTTGTTATTATGTTCAAGATACATTGTATATTTATATTTGCTCTGCTTTGCCACTTACCAAAGCCAGTTTGATTTATGAGACCATAAATCTGGAGTGATGATCATGTCGTCATTATATTTGTGACGTCATTTACGCCTCGGTTGGGCTGTTACAGAATCTTTGCTCTCGACTAATATAACCCGAGGACTGAAATAACCCGTTCTCTTACCCTTGGCAGATGTATCCACACTTTTGCAGGTTTGAGATATACCTTTTTTTTCACCCTACGCTAGAGATGGGGGATTCTCAGTGAAAACAATTGTATTAATTAACAATACAATGGTGTCACATACAATTGCATTCTGTATATGACAGAGTCAACAGGGTAACAGAAAAAGAATCATGCATCCCCTCGGGGTTGAGATAGCGGAACTAACCCCCGGGGAAAGATTCTTAAGTTGCCCCTCGTGAGATTCCCCTACATCATCCCCGGATTGGTGAAATATTCTATTAATCTCGCTCAGTTACAGGTATCACCATATATATACTACTTTATACCACCTACCGTTACCAAGATAAATTTATCATCATGGGTTGTTAGTATGAGAATACTCAAGAAGAAGTTGAGAATGACTTGAAAACAACTTGAGAATATCTTGAAAACGGATTTTCCAATTTCCCCGCATTTGGGGACGCATTTATTCTCAAAAAAGAATGTCTGCTCGCGCCAAGCGCCTTAACCGGAAGTAGTATCCACACTGACAAAAGTGATCCACTTAAGAAAATAGCCCGTCATAAACAAATCAATATAAAGTTACGAAAAAATATTGCAATGATAACAACACTATTTTAAGCGTAAATATGCATATGGAAATGTCACTGACGATAGGATTGTTTTAAAAAAACAAATCTACTTTTTTTCTATATATATAGTTTTAATGTTCACTGTATTCCTCCGCGCAAGATCGAGACCGATAATTTGCGATCCATGACCTTGAACTTAGAACTCATTTGGAAAATATGCTGTTTAGTTTGTTTTTTTTTAAATGGAGAAATATATAAGGTAGTAGTATGTAGATGAGACACAGCTTATCACACAGTTTTATCAGTGTTTGTCGTTCGAACAATTTTTTATCGCTCACACTTGGATAAATTATGGATTCCATCTGCGGTGGGCTCTCGATTTTATCCACGTGCTCGCGATGAAAAAAACGTTCTCACGCTAAACCCTGAAACACAGTGTGATAATCCATAAATGTTTTATCATTTTCTCAATTAATACACCGTTAAATACCACGTTTGTGATCCTTGTCGTTCAAATATTTCTGTTTCCTTCTGTAGTTGGTTGTTCATATTCGTGGATTTTAATCTCTGACAATAGACCCAATATCATCCCGCCTGTTCGTTGCGTCCATGTTGCAAATGTTATTACTATACCTCATCTGCAATGTGCATAATAGCGTATCTGATTGGGTTACAATGATCACATGACGGGACATTAAAACATCGTGTTGGACCCACGCACTCGAGTTTCCCCTGGTGATGTATCCCTTATTCGGAGCTTCTCGAGAAAATTGGGCAAACCCACCACAACCGAGTTCCGAGTGACAGAAGTATATGATTACAATGCAGCATCAATCTTATTATTGCGTTATTGTTTTATAACGACATAATGAAATATTTATTGTCATTGTTGTAGGCAAACATGATTCTTTGTTTCTCCGAGATTAAGCATGTGTCGCGAGGGCGAAATATATAATAAACTAATTTACTCCGTGAAAACAAGTTGTATAGTCATTTAAGAGATCTATGGAGATACATGTAATCCGACACTAGTATCACATTGCCTAGATTGGCAAAGCAAGAGTTTGGACCCAAGGAACGGAATATATCCCCGACATTGACAGCACTGTTTCTATTTTCAGATATTGGTGATGGCGGACAAAGATGGCGCATGCAGTGGACGTCGGATAGTCATACTCGTCGTTGTTGTGCTAGTGCTTGTGTGTGCTGCAGTTGGAATCGTCGTATGGGCAACGACGATTACCAATAAGGACATGGGCGATATTCCTGGAAAGTCTTCATGGTACATTGGTAAAGCAGAGATTCAGAAAAACGCTCAAACATTCGACATTTCCTTTGGTCAACATACAAAGTTTCAAGGACAACTTGCCGTCAATCAGCCTCTCGAAATACCCCAGGACTGCAGGCAAGCTAGAAACGCGGAGTTATGCCTCGAATGGCAGAGAGATAGAAAACTTGTAATAAAACATATTCAGGACGGAGTTGTTTCGTGTTACGATGTGGAATGGACAGCAAAAATGTGTCCCGGTCAGATTTTGAAGGATTGTTATGACATCGGTACCAGTCACTGGTACGGCGGCTACGAAGACTACCACCAATACTGGCCTCTCGAACGGACAACTCGGAACACTTCGGCCTACGCCCCAACAGATACATTTATGGATAAAATCGGTGATGTCGTGGAGAGATATTTCATCTCCACAGACGGTGTAGGGATTTTTATTGAAAAAGATGTTCCTTTGTTTATCAGTATCAATGAAACGCAGGATAAGAAAATCTGTCTGACGTCGACATATGGTGATTTGTATCCGTATGTTAACACAGCAGGGAAACTACCGTCCCTAAAATACCACGTCTGCCAGGCTCAAAATGTTCGAACCATCCATGATTACATGTCTAAAAGGTTTCGGAGTAAACCTTCAGACATACCAGATGTACAACTATTCAAATATCCAATATGGTCCACGTGGGCTCAGTACCATACCGAAATTAACCAAACGACGGTTTTACAATTTGCGAACGATATCCTCGAAAATAACTTGCTTCACTCACAGATAGAAATTGACGATAACTGGACTCCCAAATACGGCGATATGACCTTTGACATGGTAAAATTTCCAGACGCTAAACGCATGATGAAAGACCTCACAGATAAGGGGTTACGAGTTACTATATGGATTCATCCTTTTTTTAACACCAACTCTGAAAATTTCAAGGTTGGGATGTCCAAAAAATATCTTCTCCGTCAGGTCGGGAGCGACCTACCGGCCTTGGTGCCTTGGTGGCGAGGCAAGGCAGCCGCTGTGCTGGACGTCTCGAATCCCGAGGCTGTTCATTGGTTCTTGGGATTTCTCTATCAACTGCAGTCAGAATACAATATTAGTTCATTCAAATTCGACGGCGGCAATGGTAACGCAATACCAAAAGTTTTTTCTTTTCAGAATAATGATAGCAATCCCAATGTATATGCCGAACTGTGGGCCCGTCTCGCCTATCGGTCCGACACCGCTGTTCGGAACCAAGAGGTACGTGTGGGAGCAAGTACGCAGGATCTACCGATGTTTGTCAGGGTCTTGGATCTGACGTCATCCTGGGATCGTAACAACGGTCTGGAAAAACTCATCCCAGTTGCCACGACATTTGGTCTCCTAGGTTATCCATTTGTCTTGCCAGACATGATCGGTGGAAATGGATACATTGGCCTTCCGGATCGGGAATTGTATATTCGGTGGCTTCAGGCAAACACATTTCTTCCCGCCATGCAGTTTTCAATAGGTCCTTGGCTTTTCGATGAGGCAGTTGTTAATATATCACGTGAATACATTAATTTGCATGCAAAATATGCTGATGTAATCGTCAGCCTTGCGCGTGAAGCTACAAGAACCGGTGCACCAATCATCAGACCGCTTTGGTGGGTAGCACCAGACGACGAGGACGCGCAGACAATAGACTCCGAGTTCCTTCTAGGAGATGATATTCTCGTTGCTCCCGTCTTGAAGAAAGGGGCCCGACAAAGGGATATCTATCTGGTGGAGGGGCAATGGCAGGATATGCTAAGAGGATCGGTATTGCAGTCTGGTTGGATAAAAAATTACTCCGCCGACCTACACGAGCTACCGTACTTCGTGAGACTTAATGCGTCTGTTACAATCAACTAAAAGTTCAAAGTCATTCTTTTGTCACTTACTTAAATACCCAATAACTCATCGTTCTAAAAATAATTTATTCTTCGAGGTGTTTTAAGAATATAAGTTAAAATGTTTCCGTAGATTATATTTTTTCACTATTCTTGCAGTTCTTTCAATTATTAAGCCTACTTAACATCGCCTTATAAGCGATGTCCAGATTAACATGTACAGTTCTTCAAAGTTACGTAGCTTATATACTTTTGATAAAATCATTGACTGAGGTTGAAGGTAACATATGTTTTGTTGAACCGGGTTGTTATAAAATGTTCACTTAATTTTTAAAAAAAACCTGTTTAAACTTTCTATTTTAAAGGAAAAGCAGTCAGACACCATTTCAACATACCGTTTATAAACTGACCGACAAACGTCGTAAACACTTACCGCAAAATAAAGCGGTGTTATGTTCAAAATCCTGTTTATAGAGGCATATATCTAAAAATGTAGATCAGTAGTTCAAGAAAATTCTTTGGCAATGTTACATGGGAAAGCACATATTTACGCTTAAAATATGTTAGATGCGTTCCATTTTATCAATTTCTATCAATACATTCCTGTGTAATCAGACAAGCGCAATGTACCATGTCAGAGATTAATGTGAAATTCCCCTGTAATTCTGTAACAGATATACAGAAAAAAATAGTTCCTGTAGCGCAAAATAGGTTGTATTACATCCCACGTTTCTTAGGAACGTCATTCGATAGGAAGCAGCTCTCAGCACCCTGACAGAATGGTACTTTTTAGATAGAAGACATTGCTTTGAACATAACCCTGGCACTATAAGCGATATTTTCTTTTTATGTGTGTATCCAATATCACCACATCACATGTATCGTGTTTTTATCTTAGTAACATTGACTTAACATGGCACTCAAAGTCGCATCGATATATAGGTTTAAATGTGTGAAGTATTGCAGGTTTTTATCAGTTTTTGTCAGTTCGTTTTTATTTACTTTGTATAGGTACCTTTCTCTTTGTAGTACCTTAGCATATGTTTCGGAACACCTTTACCATATCGTTAGGAACACCTCGCCCCGATTACAGTTCCTTTCCACTCGGAACTACACGGCCGATTCGGTCATCTTCGATGGAAGAAACTGTAATCGGGGCGGGGTGTTCTGAATGAGTTCCTTTCATCAAAGATGACCGAATCGGCCGAGGTATTCCGAATGTTACCATATATGTTCATTTCCTATATGGACGTAAAGGCCGCATGGTACAGTAAATATTTGCTTTGTTTAGCTTTCTGCATTAACAAAATAATTTTTCAAAAAGGTGTTTCCCTACTTTGCAATTCTAGCGAAATTTTGACGTGTGTATCATATTATATTTACATAAAGAATTTGCGTCCGTAGAGCTACCTTAAACCGCAATTTCATCAGCGTCATTTTGCAGTTTCTCCTCCCGCCTCGAATAACATTAGATAACCGTTAAATGCAATCATTTTGCAATCGCAACTTCTCGGCCAATTCTGGCTAGGCGGAATTGGCCGAGAAGTTGCGATTGAATCATTTTGGTGACATTAAGCTGTTCCAGGAATCGCGTTTCCACTGACGACACAAACACTTCAATACCGAAAATATCAGGGAATATTGTTATTTAGGTCAATAATAACTAAAAATGTAGAATGTAAATATAAGAATTGAACGACATTTTTTCAATGTTCATGCCAATATTAACGCAAATATGCCTTTCAATCCTTTAATGGTATATTATGTTGACCTTACATGACTTTTCAATGTCACCACAATTAGGTGTAAAGGATCGTTTGTTGACGGTTTTTTCTTTGATACAAACAAAACACAACAATTACCTAGTTTTTTTTTCATTTTACTTCATAAAGTTTCTTTGTTTGTAACAGAAATCTAATATTTGAGCGAGAACAAAACTTAAATGGACCACAACTGATGTTTTACCTCATATAAATATAATCTTTTTAATAATTGACAAGTTGTATAAGTTGCAAAAAAAGCGAGCCTGAGGAAAGTTTTTGTCAAAAATTGATGCTTTTTTTCTAAAAATCATAATTTAGTTGGCTAGTCGATGTAAATGCACACTTTGATCATTCAAGCAATCTAATGAATACGTGAAATCGACGCCTATATTTTACGTATTTTAATAATTTCAAAACAAACAAAAGCAAACAAATCTCAAGTATTGCGATAATTTAAAAGAAAATGTTATATATGTTTGAGAAATTGGTTAATTTTTATAACCAAATCAGGAGAGACAATTTGAGATAAATAGACAGACAGTAGAAAGGGGGAGATAGGGAATCAAAAAGAGTATATATAGTCTTTAGAATGACAGTTAAATCAATCAATCACTTGAGGGATATGATTTACACCATCTTCGAAATTCATCGGTTCCGCTCCCGATTTCAGACATCACCTAACACCCTTGGACTTTGTTCGTGATCAAATCAATGTCCTTGTACGCATCAACTTGCAGACAATACTAGTTGACTGTGCTGGAAACTCCCTCGTACTAGTGATCTCAGAGTAAGGCTTTGATTAAAGTTAACAATGAAAAGCGAGGCAGCATTACTGTTTCGTTGACCGCTTTTGTTCTTTGGAGACCTATTCTTCAAAGTAATGGTATAACTGCCTATCTGTCTTTCAATTGGTCAGTTTCTGATGTCTAGATCCGATCAAATTACTAACCACGTGACTTCGATTCTGTCACGAGGGTACATAGAAGATACCTATATACAGAGCGGAACCTTAGGGTTTCTAAGATGGGATTACGACTGATACGTGTCATTGTGCTCTGAAAACAAAACTTGATTTTCAATTTAAGGAGGTTAATATGCATATGGATCATATTTTGGTGCTTTGCAACGATATCTTTTACTATGTAGATCAATTATCGCATTTACATATGAAGAATTTATCTACATGTATTACCCTTGATTTAAACATTTTAAAGTACCTGCTTGGTTCAGTATTGTTGTTCGCGTTTTAGTATTTCAATGTTGTGATTTGATTCATTACAGTTAAAATCACTATGTGATTTACAATAAAAAGCAAAACATCATTAAAATTGATATAAGACAAACAATTCGAATAAATCTGTTTAAAAAAATAGTACTAAGGTCATGCAACAATCTTAAAAAGTCACGATTTGTTTGTAAAATCTCATTTTTACATGACATGGATTAATCACACAGCATCAATATTTTGACTGACATCTCTTTCGGTTTATGCCTTTGCGATCTGTATATGTACAACGCAAAAACGGCAGTGTCATGATGCTGAATAAGGTGTTATAAAACAGTTGTGTATGTAAACATTACTCAATATTCAATTGCAGCTCAGGAGATCAAAATAGATGTAGACTAGTTTTGTTCAAGAAGTTCATCATATATGAAAACTTCATTCATACAAAGAAATTTGCATAAAATGTGAATTCGTCGGTGTAAAAATAGGTTTAACTGCATTTTAGAATTAAAAAAAGCTTTAAATATCATAATGGAAATCTTTTTCGATATATTTACTAATTTATTGTTCATAAAAAGTTCTAACTTTTTTTGTACAATTTTACATTTTTTTGCGAGGTCTGTTGATCCGTAAGATGGTAAATTCAATAAAAGAATTGAGGGAGAATGTAACAAGATATGAGAAATAATTATTTTGTTTGTTTGGCACCATAGTCATGAACTTTTTGGATTGGATACATAACATCCTCGTCTTTAACATGGAAAACAAATCTGACTGATTTATGCTATCACAGAAACAGAATAATGTGATGACAATTCTTCTGACAAACCCCTACTCGAACATATTTTTAAAGAAAAACACAAAATCTCAAATTTGAACAAAACAAAACATGAGATAAAACCTCCCTTTCATAACAAATATAATGAGATTCTTATTAGTAAATTCATACAAATGTTTATCCAGTCATTGTGTCAACTCTATTTCACAGGTAAACAATTAAATATTATGCACGATGCGCACCTTTACATTCAGTTCCTACAACGAAACATTGTTGAAAACTACAAATGCATAATTGTTCCAGAAAAATAGAAGAAAAATCTGTTAGCACTTGGTGATAGATTAATACACTTAGATATATTTACGAAAAACAAAGACTTGGAATACTATTCAAAGGCTGAGGGATTGTAACAAAATAATAATTAGGAATTGTCCATATTGTGAGAACCATGAAGAGTGCCTTATGATTATATAGTTGTAAAATTACATGTAAAAATCAAATCGTCAAACGCACTTATATGTTACCTTATTTTACTCTTATATATCGTCACCTTGTAATGCATTGAATTTGATTTCGCAGGAAACATTTCAGAAACATATTTTCCCACAATAAGATCTTTCATCTAAATATTCATAACAGTTATAGAACCAAAAATCGATAAAATAGCAGTATCGAGATGGTCTAACGATCTGGTGACTTTTGCCTCACTGTGTTTAAAATGTAACAGTTATCATTTGATGGTGTTTCATTACAATACAGTAAAACCTCGATATATTGCCCCTCGTTTCATTTGCCACCTCACTGACTGCCAACATATTTCAATGTCCCTTTTCACACGTTTTCTTAAGAATTCCTTTATATATATTTCCCTCATTTTATCGCTAAACCTATTCATAACACCAAGCTTTCTCTTGACAATGATGGCAGTATAACGAGGTTTTACTGTATACAATTAATAAACCGGCCAAACTTTGGTAAATATTTAATGCATAACAATTTCAGCTGTATTTTGCCTATACGTTCTTATGCCTTCACGTGACATTGATTCAGTACACCATAGGTATTGAGGTGAAATAAACTTAAACAAATTAAATATAGAAAACGACATGAAACATTTTATATATATATTCACTCACATATAGTCATAAATATATACAATAACATGTGTACACTCTCTTTCACACACACACACTGCCTCACAGAAACATACACACTCACACATAACAAATACACACACTCACATATACCCTCACACACGCACACCCTTACACACACACACACACATACACGCACACCCTCACACACGCACACCCTCACACACGCACACCCTCTCACACACACAAGCTCACACATAACAAACCCACTACCCGTCTGTTGTACATGCATCAAACTTTCGTATCACACACATATACATCTTAAGTACCGATACGTATTTTAATGGAATCATACCGTATAAGTACGCTTAGCAGTAATACTATTTGTGTTAACTCACTTAGAACCATTTTGAAGTTATAAACAAACACACGAGGAAGATGTGAACCGTACCAATGGAAGGAATATACAGGAATACATTGACCTCTGAAAGCTGACTTCATTCCAAAGTCTAATATTCTTCAAATGTGCAACCACTTTATCATGTCATATCTCGTTCTATGATACATACGGATTTTACGAATACATCCGTTCTATTGACAAAAAATGATAAAGTATTTACTATATTTTATAATGACAACAAATAGCTATCAAAAATATTTCAAAACGTGATTTCCACTTTTTCGTTTGACTATATATTTCTAGCGATTGTAATAAGTAATATCATAACATTTTTATTTAGAATAAGATTCATGCATAAATATATTTGAGATCAAAATTATTTTTTTGACTGGTAGTAATATACATGTCTTTGTAAATATCACGATGGAATAAAACAAGAAAAACATTTTTGTTTCTAAAATAATTTAAAATTTGAGATTCTTCAATGAGATTTTCTTTTAATGTCATAAGCAGATTTAATATAATATCTTAATATATTTTCATTAAATTTCAGTGAGTCTACTTCACTGTACTTGCGACATGACAAGTGCAAATAAGAATTATTGTAATTACAACCGATACGCGAACACCTGCTTTGAGTGACTTTAACAGCGTCAACACCCTCACAAACGAATTTTACAACAAAGATTTGGCAATGGATTTTCTGTTGTGTCTGAAATCCCGCCGCATAGCACTTTCCATTCTCCATTAATGGAAGAATATGATCGGTAATGTTGATATTTTACTGCAATCCAGCAGTAAATTATAATAAAATAATTAGATAAAGAACAATTTACATATTGTTACCATGGTTACCAATTATGGTAAATTCGATTTGAATCACAATTTGATTTAGGTGTATATCTATGTCTTTGGTTTGCGTTATAGGATAAAACATGTCTTACAGAAATGAGTGGTCCTAATATCAGAAGACATAGCTTTTTGCATCGACATGTGAAATTTTATTTAGATGCTTCCTTCCATTATATTGTTAGTTTGTAACAATTGAATCGTTATAGATCATCATCTTTTTTCCAAATTCACCTAAATTTTACCACGTCGTATATATTTTCGTATTTCTGTTAAGAGAGTAAAGCACGACTTTGATTTATAGCACTTCAACCATAAATGAACCTCTAGGGCCACATGATTAGTCCAAAGTATTAACGATTGTCAATAATGATATTAAAAGTATTAATCAAAATGCCCGAATCTTTCTCAGAATATCTTTTAGTTCACAAATGCTTTGGTGAGTGTGAAAAAATATTTTACGTCCACAGTTAGCGTGACGTCACCTTTTACCCTCTGGTTCATAATTATCGTCCACAGTACGTATAATGTCTGTTCATAATATTAAGGAACCCAAACTGGTCCTTGCACCTTCTCATTTTGGTTTAAGGGCCTTATGACCTCTTTAGGTCTGTCGACATCGTAATAGCTGATCCGGTTATTTTGACGTCCGCACTACCTTCTTCGTTTTTGCGATGTCCTTATTTCCTCCCCTTGTTCGAGTTATTCTTTATTTTGAACACAGAAACAGATTAGATAATTCACCTTTTTGCATATCTTGTCTAATTTCCACCTCATATAGGCTGCATGACGATGTCGGCTGTCAACGTCTGTCTCTGACATTGCCAGTCGTCTCTGCATTCCTCAGCAGGTTGCCATTTAGATGTTGGTTTCACCGATTCTCGCAGTCGCTAAATAAAGGGGAAAAAATCTGTGTTTATTTCTTATCCCTTACTTAAGTCGGCTGGGATTTCCAGTATTTCGATTGTGATATATTTATAACAAAAAACGAGAGAACACCGAAGTGTCAACAAGACCATAATACGAACTATGGTTCCTTTGAAAAGGGAGAGCATCGAAAAAGTACAAATTGGATAGACCAGGTATTTCGGAAGGGTAAGCGTCGTCTGCTGAATCGATGACACCTGTCATGTCAATCTAAACCGAATACAAATAATGTCAGGTTCTCACACCGAGAACTCGGGTAGTGACAACAAGAAGACAAGGCACTCTTATAAGCATAATAAAGAAATTCGACCTTCAAATCACACAAAGAAATAGCATATTTCTAAGCGAAACCCTGATGGCGACCTTAAAACTTGTCAATAGTCTTTATCGACCGGCCTCTTTGGAAATCCGTTGTTTTAAGTTGACATCCATCATCGAAGTAATGATATTCGGAGCAAGCTCCTGAGTGAGTAGCTCTGGTATGAATACATTTGATTTCTATGAATAAACAACATAAACTATTATAATGCTCTATATATTAATAACTTGTCTCTTTATCAGATATCATCAAACCAAAACAGCTGTAAACCACGTGAACATAATAATACTAATAATACATACGTCCATTATTGACCCCTCTCCCTCCATAAGCGTCCAGATGGCGCTAATCGGTATGGGAATGAGTGGTGCCAGTGCTATTACCCATCCGATGCCTATAGACCAATCAGGGTAGGCGTTTTTACCGTAGGACACTGCTTTATGCTGGGACACACTAATGAGCCACAGAACCTGAAAAATGAAGTAACAATAGATTTAAAAACCAATATATAATGGTGCTCGATGTAAAATAATCATTAGAAACATAGATTATTCAATTTTAATTGGGAATATTATAGGTAGGTTTCTGTTGGTATTCATGCTGTATTGTTTTCGGTTTTTTCTACTCTGGTGTTCCGTATCTACATTGAAATTTGACTTTTGGAAGCTGTAGTATATTGTACATGAATCATTCTGATCACAATATAAAGAGATTGGCAAATATACACACGTTCCCAATACCGTGGTCATTCGTAACGCCTGAAGATAATAGATGGTACTTACCAGGATCATAAGCGGAGTGATAACACACCAAAAGATCTTCCAACCTGGGCAAGGTTTGTAACCAAGCATCATCTCAATGTCTTTATACAAGCGATTCACACCTGTGCAAAATAAACAGAATTACCGGTAAATGTTTGTCTCTAATGTTTTTGTTTACTCCAGCAGAATTTATCTGGTTTTTAATGGTTTGGTTGATTGGGTTTAGCGTTCTATTTAACACGAAGGTCGTTGAAGATGTGACTTCGTGTGTGTAATGTTTGTGTGCATGTGTTTTACATGTGCTGAGGGAGGTATGTTGGTGATCTGATGCCTACTTTAGAGTGCCACCTCAATGAAATGCCATGATAAAGACACTCAGTACAGTATTCAATCCGGTCACATCATACTACAACCCATTTAAAGTCAGTGATTTAGGGGACAGATTGACATTTTCCTATCCAACATTACGGCTGCTCATCTGTACTTTTTCTCATGTTACTTTATTTGAAAGACAGTTCCTGTTTATAAAACGCCTGAGAGTAAGAAAACCTTTAGCAGAGAACAGATAGTCCTCACTATTTCCTCAGCTTGCTTTTGCTTTACCTTTATATACGTAATTTATTATTCCACTGATAATTTTATATGAATAGTTAAGTTAACGAACCTGTTGTGTCTCAAGTGAACTCACCGTAAAAGTAGGCTAGAGCGACGACCTCCAGGAAGGCGAGGAACATGGTAGATATACTAGCGACGTACCAGTCGACCAATTGTAACACGTACATACCACCCTGCCGACAGAAAAAAACCAGGTATTAAATTATGTCGGCAAGTTCAAGTGTGACTATTTTATAGAATTTGAGCTGTTGTTAAATTTATTCATTTGGACAGTAGCCGGAAATACCATTGTCTCCCAGCTTATTCAAATATCTTCTTTTCCGACACATTCGACAGCACTTAATCACTAAATGTCATATCAACTTTAGTTGTCAAATATTTTGGAAAAAAATTATCTGAAATTTGAATATATCAGTTGTATGTCCTCAGACACAGATTTTAAATATGTATGTATAAAATTTCAGTTTTGAATTTCAATATTTTGAAATTGTGCTAGATTTAATTTTCGTTTTAAGTTATATTGGACTTTGAGCAACCGGACTCTATTTATATTTCCAGGGCAGAGTTTTTCAAAGCCTAGTCAGATTAACAATTTAACGCAAATTTTGAAATGGCATATTTTAAAAAAGGTTGAAATTCTAAAATTGAAGATTTATGTTAATAAATTCAAGATAATTTCGATAAACATACAAATATTTGCAAAATTTTAAATAATTCTTAAAAACTAAATTTTGAAAATATACATTAATGACTCATAAAACAAACCATGCTCCGCAAAACAAGGCAAAAAAGTAAGCTTATCAATGGTGTCGTGTGTTTCGGTAAATAAACAGAAAATCGATAATAGAAATTTACATGTTTCATTAAATAAAGGTGATAAACTAACATGTGTCACTCACCTGTGTAACAAAGATGAGACCAATGAAGAAGGAGAGAGCGTTGAGGAAGGCCATAGTGAGGGTCTCGTGGTCCCTGAATATCTTAAACCTGTCCATTAGTCCCACAGCAACCAGCTGTATATGTACGATCTGCAAGGGAACAAAACTTGTCAGGTTTGCCGAATAGATCTTAAATATTGGTCAAACTATGTTCATTTGGAATCAGGATGTATATTGCAATGATGTCCTAAGACAAAATTATCGAAATATAGCACAGTGAACACAGTGTCATCATCAATAGGTATTTGTTGTATTATTATGTTAACTCATTTACCCCTGAAGACGCATTTGAACTCTTCCAATTCAAAGATTGGAATAGTCCATTATAAAATTTCAGGGGTGAATGAGTTAACATACCTTTCTTTGTATTTATTTATTTATTTTTATCTATTTGTTTATCATTTGTTTTTTTATTGATATCCATTTATTTATCTGTTTATTTATTCGTTATGCATAATCTCATGTTTCCCCCATCTTTGCTATTTTGTTTTGTTTTTGTTTTTTTCCTCAGTTCCTGTTGATGCAACAGAAATTGTAAGTTGTAAGTCTTGGTTTTATTATTGTAATTGATGTGAGTCTTTTTGATTTTGATTTTGATTTTGTCCCTGTGTGTCCTCGATTCTGTTGTATATTGTTTCCTCTATTACGTCACGTTTATTTTGCAATATACAATAAGTTTATTTCACATAAAAGTTATATATATTTTGTTTATATTTTGGAAAATTGTCTTACCTGACTATCCAAACCAACGGTAAACAGCATGATGAAGAAGAGAACAGACCACAGTTGAGGAAGGGGTAATGTTGATAGAGCCTCGGGGTAGACCATGAACGCTATACCAGGACCTGTTGTCAATAAATAATATTAGCATGTGAAATACATACAAAGCAAAGCATACATTTCACAAGTATATAAATTTCGGTTATCGGTCTTTCTCTCGCACCGGTCGACCGTGATGTCAACTCTTGTTTATATTGCTAACATCGCGATTCACTTACATGCACTTGAGTTTAGTCAATGTAATATCGTTCTTGCCTGAGTTATTACCAAAAGTTATTACTAACAAACTACCCTCCAGTCAGCCAGTCCTACTAAATTATTTATTTGACCTTAATACTATCAAGAGCAATTTAAACAACAACATATTTTCATCAACTAATTTCAGGTTTGTTTGTTTGTTTTATGTCATATAAACAGCTATGGTCATTTAAGGACGTGCCATGTATGGTGGTGGAGGACAGTTGGAGTTCCCGGCGAAAACCAACCGATCTGCAATCAGTACCTGTCGACTGCCTTACGTAGGCCTCGAACTCGCGACAAAGTAGTGAATGGCAAATGATAGAAGTAGGTCAGACGCTTACAACAGGTATCTGTATTGTATTTGTGAATTTCAAATAAACACCCTCATACCTTTATCCACGACTTCTTCTATATCAACGCCGGCTTCATGAGCCATGTAACCCAAGGTGACAAAGATGGTACAGCCGGCAAACATGCTGGTCACAGCATCTAGGGCAGGTACTATCATAGCATCTCTGTAGTGGAAGACATTTGTGCAATAATTTTACTCTACATTTATTAAAAACAGCCATTCACCACTACAAAGAAAACGAAAAACATAATGGCGGGCGATTCTGTAATTGCAGACTTTGTGTTCAATGCTTTTACAGCATATTTTAGCAACAACAGCCATTCACCACTATAATATCGTCAAGGAGGTCCATGAGAACGTTTCTGTAATGGTAGACGTTTTCTTCAGAGAGTTTACTTAAACAATATAGGTAATATTAATTCATCACTAAATATTCATGAACATGAAACATGCTGATATTGACAAGTTCCTATACAATTGGTAATTGTTCTTCCATTTAAGCTCGCATACTTCAGTGTGCACCCTCTGGTAGTTTTAGTTAATTTTGTTAAAATTATACAGATTTATTTCAATTATTACAAAGAAGAAATCGACGTTAAGATTTAAAGGTAGAAACGAAAGCAATCCTTATCTTCTGTGCATAGTTGTGTAGACATGAGAATCATTTCTTTTCTAACATTTTCTCAGTTGATCATGTCATTTCAGACTAGGCTAACTCCGCTACATAACCTCGTTAAAAATCATGTTCTATTCAGTAATCGAATTACGTCCTGTAACCATTAGTATTGAATCAGCCTTCGCCATCATATCATTTTTCTGTTACTCTAAGAACTGTTGATAGCTTCCTTAGTATTTTACCTGTAGTGGTTATTGCCGAACTTGTTAAAGCTTGCCAAACCGATGAGCGCTCCCATTCCGATACTTGCAGAGAAGAAGGTCTGAACGGCTGCATCAACCCATACCTGTTACACAAAACATCAACAATTCACATATAGGTCATCAGTACTTTATTGGTTTACCTGTGATATGATCATATTATTCCAACGTTTATATTCATATTTATTAGGGTCATTTGGAAACAGAAGACACTTAGATATTTTCTGTTCATTATTGAGCTTGTTTTGGATAGACTGGTATGGATATTTACTTTGATTTCCTTTACAAATAGTATTCCATACTGTTTATATTCATTACATCATAGCCCACTGGGAAAAAAGTATTGCATACGGTATACATTCTGTAAATACATATCTCGTCAACTAGAGAAAATATTGCATACTCTGTATATTCTGTATATTTACATTGTAGTCCAGTAGTCTCTCCCATCTAGGTATCAGATAGTATTTGAGACCATCAATTGCTCCAGGCAGAAACAGACCCCTTATGAGTAGAGTTAACAGGAACAGGTAGGGGATGGTTGCAGCCACGTACATAACCTACATATAAGGAAGTCATTGATTATTTATTTCCGGTTTGAAAATAAGAATGATATTTATAATGAAGAACGAAATTCGACAACATAGATATGTACATATATGTTGCAGCTAAAGTCGAAATTATTTATAGGCAGTAGCAAAACTCAAAAGCATATGAAGCACACTTTGAACCAAACTTTTGCTACTATGCGATCTTGTTTTGTTTGTTACCACATCGAGACGTGAAATGATATCTACCTTGCCGGAAGATTTAATGCCCCTGGCCAGACAGAGGAAGACTATGATAGACGTTGCTAGGAGACATAGTACCAGCTGCCATCTAATCGAACCCAGGTCATCGATACTGTCAGTCAGTTCCAACACGTGTCGTCTACATAAACAGATATACACATTGAACACTTAAATAAACATTTTTAAAATACATCATTCAATGGATGAGTTATAATGAATAACTCATTATGGCATAATGAGTTATTGTTTGTATTATTTAACGGATAGTAGGTTTAGATGGGGCGATTTCTTTATTGCTTGACTCATTGATCATAATAGTTATTAAATGTTGTGCTCCCTGTCAAACTGGGGGGGGGGGGTGTCTTTTTTTATATAGCGAAATGTTAAGCCTTTACAAATTTCACCTCTAGGGATGTTCATTTCTGTATTAACCCCATTCCCTTTATATTTCTTATCTTAGATTTTGCACCAAAAGATTTTTTTATGTACATTTTATTTATTATGTATTAGCATATCAAGTTTACTATACATAGCTTAATACAGACAAAATGTCCTCATAATCTTGAATCCTCTAATACAGTTTTGTAAAACATAGTCAAGGTGAAAATAATGGGAGTAACTTACGTGTTTATTTAATTGGTGTTACATGTAGCTAATGGTGAGTTAGTGCCAAAGTTTGTTATCCAATAAAGGGACATAGACTTTTGACCTCTGTCGTGAATTATACCGACGAGGTCAATGGAAATATTTCGTTTAGAACGGTCGAAAGAACGCTCGGTATTTACATGACCTAAGTGTTCGTCTAATACCTATTCAATTAAGAAGACATTACCACGATCAAGACATACTACTACTGTTGACCTCAATCTTATGTTAAGGAGGGATTAATTCACGAACCGTACAACTGGAAATAGGTCCGGAACTCTGTCGTCAATGAAGTCGTAATCTGGTTTGATTTTAGTATTTACGTTCGACAGGAATTAGCTTATAGTATTTAACAGGCGGTCAGGCTTTAACCTTGGGTATTTTCTACAGCTTAACGATTGTTTGGAATTAACGATTAAGTGGAAAATAACACATAAAGCAATGTATACTTCTTTGATTGATGGGTTTTATCAAAAACAAGTAAAAAAAACCATGTAAACCACGTATAATAAAAACAACAAATGTATATTTTTGTGAGAAGATCAATACTTTGCGTCACTGACGAGGTGTTTACTTCCAAGCCGCGATGGTTTCATACAGAAACTAAGGTGCGTTTTCAACATGATACCATTGATAATTTAATTCTGTAAAACCTTGAGATTGGACTAAAGTCATTGTTCTGTTTCCCACCACGAGTCATGCTAGTGTGTTTGTCAAACTCATTCCCTAAGTTCACCTGGGTATTATTACTATTATTATCTATATGCGTCGTTTCGTGTATCAGATATTGGCGTGCATTAAAACCTTGTTTCTATAGTACGATCATACAAATTGATAAGTGACATATATTTTTTAATTTATACATGATGTGACGTAACCTTACCACTTCAAAACATTTACACTGTAAACCTGTTTGTATTCAGAGGGCAAATATTTTGCGGTTGATCAGAACTAGATCGCGGGCATAAAATTTCGCGCAACATTGCCAGGTAAAAACGCTGTTCTTACGAGGATACTTATGTATTTTGGTAAAGGGATTTATGTCACAAGTGTTTTATGAAATGCACATATGTAAAACTTCCCTTTTTATTATTTTTTAAACATTGATACGTAAGGTATATTATCTTTTTTTTTGTTTTATGTACATTGCTATACGCTTATTGCCCTAATTTTATTTCTGTTGTCCTATATATAGCAAAAGCAACCATTGATATGAGTAATGTGATATTAAAAATGGGTTTGAATGAAGTACATCAATTATATTTTTAGACCTAAATAGAGATAATCTTTTTAAACTTTGCACAAATACCGATATGCAAAACAATAAGATACGTGCTAGCTTTATTTCAGATAAAAAGAATGAGACATTTTGGAATAAAATACAGAAAAAGAACAGCCTGATATACTTTTAAATATGCAATAAATAACGTAGTTGAATAATTAAAGTGCATACTCCCAGAATTCCTCAGGTGGTGTCCTTGCGGTTTTCGCTACTTCACTGACGTTGGTCACGACCACAGCAACTGTTCCATTAAGAGTCGAGTTATCTCCCCTGATGTAGCAGGATTTGGTGTTCCAATCATTATCACACGTGGCCCAGGGAAGTGTGGACGAGAATGACATACCAAAGTAGTACAGGGTCCAAGCGATGATGACGCCATAGTAGATCCCAATCAACCAAGTTAGTGTTATCATTCCATAACCGATACCTTAAAAGTAACATAAACACATTCCAATTACCCATTTATACCATGCACTCGAGTTATAAAAAGCAAATGCATATCCCTTTGATATTAATGTTTTGATAATGTAAATACTGTTAATCATTCCATATTTGCGTGTGCTTAATTCCTCGAAAAAAGTCTATGGATCTATTTTGAATACCTGAATTCGCGGTGAAAAGAATTCTTTTTATATTTATCATCCAAAGTGATTATTTGTGGAATTTGTATTCGTGAAAATTGATTTATCGTAAAACTTGCCTCGCAAAAAATAAGGTGACTTACAGTACAGCAAGTGCTATGCTTCTATAATATAGGACAAAATTACAAGGACAGCTAAGCAATTTGTAACACCGCGGAATGTCACGGGTCATAACATGATAAATATATCTAGTTAATTCAAAAACTGGGACCTGATATTAAAGGCGAGAAATGTGTCAAAATAGCAGAGGTTAAGTGTGTACCGGTATGTCTAATGTCGTAAGTCGGACGTCTAGATGCATCATTCACCGTGTTATTACAGTTAAATTATGGGCGTCAAGAATATATGTTTATGTGTTGTGTCACATGGAAAGGGACGTGACCATTCAGAATCGTGGTTAGTACCAGATGTAACAAATAATATATCTATGTTTCGGGTAACTATCAAGCCATTTTGCTATCGAATCAGAAAGTTGAAAAAATACATTTCTTCAAAACGGCTTTCAACTTAGAGTTTCAGCATAAATCGTATTAGTTTTTAAACTAATTTATATTGCTAATCAGTCCAGGTTTAAACGTTGTATTTTAATGTGCTTGTATGTATTGAAAGGGACTGGTGCTTTAATATTCGTCTAGTATCAAAATGTCAATAATATTTCAGCTATGGTACTCTTTTGACCGATATCTACTTTATTCAAACAATAGCACGAAAAAAACCCGCAATACATTTGTTGAATTCATATTCATATAAACATTATGTTATATTGCTGTATAGAGTTTTGTTATGCAGAAACAGAAACCCAGCAATGGTATTACACGGAATGCGGCTAAAAATATATTCTCTAAAGGACTGACAGGAAAATTGATAAGTTAACTATTGAGTATCAATGCGTTTATAAAGCATAAATTCCCAATTCATATCTGCAGGGATGATATTTCTTTGGACATTCGAATCGACCAAACTTCACATGAACTGCGTTGTTGCATTGTTAACCATATCTAATACATCGATATGAAGGATACACAACTCCCTTTATTCATTCATGCCAGAAAAACGAAACATTGGATTCTTAAATTCTATTGGAAACAAAACTATATGAGCTGCTACGAATTAGTTTATTATCGATTACGTATTGGCTGCAAGGAATCAAGAACTTACAAAACAAAGGTAAACATATATGAATGAGAAAGCTAACTACATACTGTACTGTATACCGGGAAACTTACGCCCCGTTAAACTTACGCCCCGTTAAACCTTCGCCCTTCACCGCCCTTATTCCTTATTCGCCCAGTGTTAAATTCACCCTACACCGCCAACAATGGAACACACTGGACCTCAATTGCATCACATACGGTACCTGTGTTAAGCCTCAGTGTAGACGAAACAGTGACAAAACATGTGCCGTCGTATACGTAATTTCTTTTTAAACTTTCCCCGTCATGTTAAATTCGCCCTCAGATCGGAAGGCGAAAGGGGCGAAAGTTAAACTACGGCGAAAGTCTCCTTGTATACAGTATAACATAAACCACCTTTGGTTGCTTAATTGGGTTTTTTTATTCATTTATTTCAACGTAATTACGAATATTTTAAAATATATTATGTGGGGTTGAACTCTTTTTATCCAAAGGACATTGATATTAGATTTTCATATTTAATAGTTATGAGAATATAACAGATCTAAATTAGATCTTCATGTTTAATCTAGCTAATGATATTTGGTAGAGCTGTGTCTAGGTGGTTATCATATAAAAGTGATTTCATTTTTCAATATTTGAGAAAGAATAGTTGGAGGACAAGTTGTTTTAATGTATAATCCATGAAGAAGATGAATGGATCTGTTGAAGAACACGTTATCCCATGTTGTGATGGAGACCTCCAGGTATAGACAGAACAATGACTCTGACGAAAAAAACCTTTTAAACTATAGGTCAGAGCGATTCAAATTCCACTCATCGACCTGAAAAGCATTTTCCATTGTTATTAATGTTTAAATATCATATATACATGTGTGTGTCTAGCAAATATTTATATATAGTTGACATTACTTGTACTTTATTATTTTAATCGCGAGTTTATGCGCATTACTTTTCATCTGCAATAATGCAGTAGTACAATTTTAAATCATTTATTTATGTTGGAAAAATATTGTAGTAGACTTTATATTACTTACAACCAAAGAATGGCATTGAAAATGGTATACTGTATACAGTTACATCCACACTTGCCCAGTGTTCATTTTGTCCTTCACAATGGATTACATTGTGTGTTATGATGTATACTAAAGTTCGCTTTAATGATAAATTATATCTCATAACAGAGGGCGAAAAAGGCGAAAGTAAAACCATGGCGAATATTTCCTGGTGAACAATGATGACTGAATAAAAAAGTGCACTTGTATTCATGTTTCTATCATGTTCATACCTTATATATATAACGGAAAAAATTGTTACAGCGTATATGAACCTATCCATGTTTGTGCTACCTTTGTAATGTCAGGTTTATGTAATATGACATTGACTTCACGTGGGAGTGAGTGCCTTACCTCTGAAGAGTGGACAACATTCCCATATTTTGCCGGGTCCCAAGTTGGAGTACTGCGCATACGTGAACTGCAGGAATACTTCCGGGAGACCGATGACGAAGAGGAAGATGAAATAGGGAATCAGGAAAGCGCCTGTAACATACAACAATGTCAGGGAGTTAGCAAAATAAGAAATTGATTGAGAAGTGTTTTCTCTGTCAAATGAAAATTGCATGCACAAAATCGGATTGCAAGTGTTTGGTAAGTATACTTATGATTAACAGACACGTATGAATTGCTCATAATGAAGCGAACACAGTTGTACTTGTTTTGACTTTGTGTTTCTGCCAGTTTGTGGATTCTGACATTGACTTGACAGGTGCTCCATCCAATTATCATTTGAATGTTCAAAACAGCAGGTCTGTATATAAAAAAAACATCACTAAGCTATCACGCATGGTCAGGACACTAGTATGCAGCACGGTGGTTCGAAACCAAATGCATATTATAACAAATAAAATGATCAGATATATCGGTTAGGGTATCGACTTGGGAAACACTGTTTCTAAACTGTTATTAGTTTTCAAATGATAAGTATATTTTGTTTTTTAATGTTTAAACATCCTAACAGAAGCTTTAAATACATACTGAAGCATCACTCCACGTCATACAACAAATTATATTTTTATCCGCTCAAAACCCTTAATTTCCCATGCTTAATTGACATTCCGGATGTTTCAACTTGGTTCAAAATGTTAGAACTGTTAAATCTTGATACCACGGAAACGTAAACAAAAATGTAGACTTCAGCAATGTATATATAGATCGTGGACATAAACAGAGTAAACAGTGGAGTGTGAACCTTGTCAATATTCTGCAATTAATATCTTGTTGACAATATGTTAACTTCGTCTGTTATCTGTTATTATATCAATCTAAGAGCGGACGATGTTATGCTCGGTCAGACATTATATAACTTAGCCTGGATTTCAGCTTACTAGGTTTTCAAAGTTACGTCCCAATCCAATATAACAGGTAAAACAAGCAAGCTGTCAGGGCGACTTAAGTTGACATTAGGGATAATTAATGTGCATATTTTTGTAAATGCAATGAACTAAAATTCTTTTAATGGAGTCCTCAGTTGAACCACTGCTGAATAGAATAACATTCAAGGACTTTAGATACATAAAATTAATATAAAAACGATTACATATGGTTAGCAGCACATACAATTTTAAGTATGTCACAAGAGAAGTATTCTATTTAAAGTACCCATTTTAAATAGTATTACAGAAATAAAATGAGCATTTTCATTATACAGACTTTTTATTACTTCCAGGCAATTTTCTTAAAGATTGTATGAAGATCTTCTGCTTTAGCAAGCATTACTTCACATTTTATTACACTAAATTACACATAAAATTTGATACACACGAATTGAATTTTCTGATAATAAAACTCAATTGAATGGACTAGAATCAATCCAAAGTGAGGACTAAAGGGGTAGCATGGGCACGAGCGAGATAAGAAAATAAGACAGAGAATCGACGAAGGTAGACGAGAATTTTCTTTTCAAACAAACACAATTTCTATGTAAAAACTTATACTCCAGACGGGATAATTATAAAGCAAATGATTAAATAGAACAATCAATTACATAAACATATCGTTGGCATTGTTAGCAAAGTCAATTTCTATAAAAATCTTTATAATTGTTTCTATTTTAAACAAAGCTGCACAAGTATCGTCATTCCACAATTAAATTTACCCTTTAATTTGTCTTCCTCCACATATTTCCTGCCATTTAAACCAACATTCAACGTACTATAATTGGAATGCTATACACCTACAACTAATTCCAAACCACTCCTGGTCTATTATTGCTAAATGTATACTATACTTGTGTATGTCTTCTTCTTGTTTTGCCTCCCCCACAGCCTACATCTGCTTTATGCCGGTATCGTATACGTTTTCTTACGAAGCAACCACTCCCAACTTCCTCCCACCCTCGCTTCGCCTTATTTCCATTTACAACACTTAATCCTGTTCTCCCGCATTCCCAGACTTTCGTAACAACCATTTTTCTACAGATTTCCCTCAAACTTTTCCTACATTGCCTCCCCCATCAGTAGCATCACTCCTCCTCATAGTATTCTATATATATATATACCAGCATGTCATCAGCACTTTTCCAAGGCCGGTCTGCTAACCATTACAACTAGGTCTGCTGTTTCGTGTATAGGTACCAAGGTACTAGTACCAAACCTGTGATATAGACCCAGCCAAGGTGGTAGGCAGACACTGCTGCCATAAATTCCTAGATGTTAACGTATGCAGGTTTCGTTCGGTAGATAATTTTATGGTATGTTATGTCCAACTCCTGGCCCTNCCCCCCAATTATGCCCCTCCTGAGTTCAGTTAAACAAGTTTTATGTGGAATCGTCTGCTAACAGAGAAAATTTGCAGGAATGGAAACTCGTTTCTAAAAATAAGCACAGCCTGATAGTGAATTCAAAAATACATGCGGCATGTCTCCATAGAATGCCAGGAATGTATTACTAGTTTTTTTCCTGACACATTTTCTACGACGTGTTAGAAACAACATTACAGGAAAAGAATATAAATATACAGAAAGTGATTAAACCTCATTTTTTATTTTCAAATTGTTATTTATGGTATATATGCATACATTGAATAAACGGAAAATAACTATTGCATCATTGTATATCCTCGATTCGTACAGAGGATATTACATTAGGGGTTCATGAAGTCTGTCTATTAATTTTGATGTTGATTAGTTTTCTGGTTAACAGTTAGGTTCGATTTCCGATTTTTCCTCCTGATGATTTCATTGTGACAACATGCTTTCGACAAAACGTTTGTAAAACAAAATTAACCACCTATAAGTTATATTTACACTGGTATTGAAGCGGTACTGTCAGAGAGGTGAGCTGTTCATGTATGCTATTTTCTTATACATGTTTAACAACAGAAAAAAATATAAACGATATTAGTGAAAAGTTCATCTTCATGGCAATTAATGAGCAAAAGTTTCCGCAGCGAAAAGCACGTGTTCAATTTGTATCAGTACCGTCAGCTTAGAGAGAGTAATGCCAAAAAACATCATGTCTGTGGAAAAACACGCAGTCTGCATACACAGGTATATTAACCCTATAGTTGAAGGTTTAAACCCCAGGTCAAATAAGTTCACTGCGATGCTATACAAAACCTTGTACATAGTCAATATGTTAACAATACCAGATTCAATACAAAAAGATTAACTGTTTCAATAACAGACCTAAATATTGGACTTAAGACGGAAATGTGTATACCTCTGTATTAATGCTATTCTGCTTCCCGTGTGCCTATAAACGGGTCAAATTTACAGAGGATGTGTGGAATTAATCCGGAATGTGTGACCTTACAATCTACCACTTATTTTCCAGATTCAAAAGGAGCAGGTGTGAGCAGGCCGCATATGTTAATCTATTAAAGAATTGTTAAATAAAAAAACATTCAATTACAAAGAAAATCTATCATACTTTCATTCATGAATGTTTCCTACTTTACATTGGAAAAATACACTTGGTATAACTCCAACGCAAGTAGTTCGGCATATTGATTTTTTGTGACGTGGGAAAAGCTAGCAGATACTGTTTTATGCCGCCATAACAGATCTTACTCTTGTTCTAGAAATAAACATAAATTAATATACATCTATAATTTATCATCAATGAAATTCGACTCTCGCAATTTCCATAATATTACTTAAATAACAGATTTTTCAATAGCTTATTGTCCACGTGGTTGTTTCAATGTATACATGTATAGAGATTTCAGGCGCCAAAACACACGGCATGTTTTATATTGTAAAAAGACAATGCTAAATAAAATCTACTCACCTCCTCCATTTTTATAACAGATATACGGAAATCTCCATATATTTCCTAATCCGACGGTAAGTCCAATACAGGAAAAGATGAATTCGAACCAGTTATTCCAGTTTCCACGTCCTTCCTTCGCCATCGCTACTGGTTGGTCTGAACTGTAAGCAGTCGTATGGAAATTTACCGGCTTTTATTTCCGGTGCAACAAAGGTCATTGCCATGGGTATATATAGCGTTCAGCAACTAATTGTGTATCAAAATTAAACATGATATTTATATTATTGATTAATTAATTTTGTATTTATTTGAATGTATACCGTAATAGATCGTTCCTATGATGTTTTGTATTTGCTGTGTGAGTGTATACGTATTGATCATTGTGCTCACTGACCCATGTAAGAACAGCTGTATATAGAAAGCAGTGAAAGACGAACATACACATGTGTGTACAAGCTAAGTAATAGCGGGAATGGACCAAATACATGTGCCATTGTAGTGTGATTTGTATCAGATTGTGCCAGTTATATCAGCTACAGCTGTTTACATTGGGAAAATTGTCAGTAACATGGAGATATATCATATCCACTAAAGCATGTCCGTCAAATGAGCGCCCATATTGATTTACAATTAGGTAAATGAAAGGTAGAGTTATAAACATAAGACCGTCTAAGTTTTGTGTGCCTCTTTGTAGAGTGAGTTTATACTATAGTGAAATGTATCATTCTATGTAAAGGAAAATGAAATGTTGGTAATCTATAAGTGTAGAACTTGTATTGTAATGTTATTTTGGCACAAAATCAATGTCACGTTTTCTTCTAAATTGGGAAACAGGCTCACATTCGTCAGCTTAATCATAATTGTATTAAAACCCCACTATGCAATTGAATACTTTTAGCTATGTGCGTAATGAGTTATTAGCAAATACGCATCGATTATATAACATGCGGTATGCCTCATGACTTCGTATGAGTATATTTTGGCTTTAGCAGATGAATGACAATGTATGAAATGATACACTTATCCTTCCTTAAATATCTACGTTCGAAATACCAATAAAATAAATACACACTAACTCGTGTTTTGGGTGAATATCTTACAATGTTTCTCATTGCAAAACATTCCTTAATTATTTCGAAATAATCAAACCATATTCCTAATTTCTTATTCACTCCCTAAGTGCACAATTGTCTTTTTCTTAAACAAAGGAATAATTAAAACATGTGTAAATTTCCAGACTTATTAATGAATGGAACAATTCATTATTTCGAAAAATTCCAATATATCTATATCTGTATATCTATTGCTGAACTTTACGTGAGCCAGTCGGTATCGATTGTTTTAAAATCTTTATTGACTCAATGTTATGACACATATATTGCCATGCATGAACAACCAACATTAATAAAGATGCTACTTTCCTGTTGATATTTTCCCAAATGTATTCCTTCAACACTCTAATATGCAGGCAACATGTCGCAATTGTTTTACATTTCAAGAATCTTACATTAACTTACCGAATTAGTCAGTGTAAGCTGCCGTCCAAAATGATCACGAAACGAAACACTGAAACGTATTTTTACATCAATTTCATAGCAAAAGCATTGCACTTCATTGTGTGGCCTAGAGCCTTGTTAGCTTTGCGTATATTAGATTAAGATTTGTATGAAGGAGTTTCAGACTAGGAACCAGTATGGTATCTTCCTCAAAATATTAAGCAAACACTGGATTTATATAGACCATCATAAGACAAATACACGAATTGTATAAAAAAGATATCTAAGAAAACTACTGAAATATCCTAATACATAATGACATAAAGCCTTGGTGATTTTAGAAACATGTGAAAAAGTGTTACCTTTGACAGTAGGAGGAGAGTCGAGTGGGCCAGTAGGGTCAGAGTGGTCAGTGCTTCTAATTAGTGAGTTGTGTCAGCCACAGCAGTACGTATCAGTGAGTGTCTGCGGAGGGTCTGTAGTTGTTTATTTGTTTACGATTAGGCGTGCAATTTAAATGTAGAGATTACTTGGTTCTGGAGATCTTATTAAGTTGTCAATTAAAGCTTGGACCGTTAGGGAGAATGTTGATTGAGAATGGCCAGTGTCATGAGAACAAAGGGTGGTGTGTGTTACAGTGGAGATAGGACAGGTTGTGTGTGTGTGATAGAGGGGAGTTTAGTTTTGTGAGGTGCACGAGAGAGGACGTAACTAAGGGAGTGGTGTACGAACGTTGGAGTGACAACATGTGAGCAGTGTAGTGTTGTGGTGATCGTATGGACATGTACCTGTATATATGTATAGAGATGTAAATAAACTGTAAATAGAAATCAGTGCATTGTCTCATAATTATGACATCAAAGACAAACCAGTGGCTCCGTCACAAACATTCGGTTAACCTTTGGTATATATGGCGTTAAAACACGCTAAATAGAATAATGGATAAATCATTTCGGTAAAATAATGCAACTGGATATTTTTGAATAAATGTGCATCGATCATGCATTACTTTGTATGTGTTATTGATTGGATTTGACATATCTATTCCTCTGTGCGATATCGCTAAGCTCACGTGTTATCTAACAATACATTTATTGATTATATAATATGTAAATATGTATTTATATCGTCAATATCAAATAAAAATAATAATCATTTTTTATTTTTTTGTTTATTTACTTATTTATTTATTTTTCCTTTTTTTTAGAATTTATTTCTTGATTATATTTATACATTTTCTCGATTTAATCGTCATGATATTTACATCTGACTAAATTACCTGCAGTTGTCTAATTGTTAATTGTTCGTTAATATGCTATTTCATAACATTACTACAGAGAACATATTACATACAATTCATTTTAAGGACATGACAAAGAGGCTAATATGATATAACGATGTTACTTGGATCAAATGTCATATTGGGATTTTTCTAACTACAGAACACAATGACATTCCTTGTTTCAATATTATCAGATGGGCTTAAAGTAGTATTAACACGCAATAATATGATGTAACTTATTGTGCTATTACGTTTAGTGTAAATCATTTACAGTCAAATATGGTAGTGATAGTCTGCAATGCTTCATTGAGTGTTCCAAATACGTCAAGGAAGAAAGTAAATAAATATTTCATAAAAATGTTAATGGAACATGAAAAGTCATGTCTTTTTCAGGTTTCTTGTTATTAAACATGAACCATATGTACAAAGTTGATATGTATTATGTATGATGTTACAGAAAATAGTTAAGCATCAGGGCCCAATTCTGTGAATACAAATATATCGTTTGGAATATTTTCATCAAATATACGTTAAATATCTAAATAATACAATCGTCAATATGTTTATGTTTTGCAAGACAAGAAATACATTTATTATTTCAAAAACCGATGAAAACAATCTTTTTTTCTTTCATAAAAGAACTTTATATGCCGTGAAGCTAACCATACTTTGACTAACGTTCAAAACCAGACTCGGTCTGATAACTTGATGATATTGCAGAAACTTGTACATTAACGTCACATTACATTTGTTGGATAGCAAAGATAAATGACCAATGGATGTTAAACAGGAATTATACACAAAATGTGTTGGTTGTCTCAAACTTAAGATAACATTTCATTTAATATTGTTTTTCATTATGAGCAAAGATCCACAAACATATGATTAATTTATGTCGACATTTTCAAATACGAATGCACAAGCTGACAAAGCTTTGTATAGCTATAGCTAGGTCCGGGTCTTTAAGATACGAATGAAACGTTATACATGTTTGTTATTTAACTTGTAATAAAAAAAAATCAAATAATCAATAACAGTATCAGTATCAGAACGTCGTCGACACATGTACCGAGAATAATAGATAAACTATATATACATAAAGTATACCAGGAAAAAACTGACTTACGGGTTTGTATTAAAGTAATCGATGTTGCCCGATGTTGCCCGATGTTTGTTTATATATATATTTATACTACAAGTATACCTATTTCGTATATAATTGATTAAGTTTTGTATTATCAGAGGTAGTATACCTTTTGGTTGATTTTTTATATAAAAAGGGGAAATTAATGTTTTCTTATATTGTGATAGATGTCAATAAGTCAATTCATTTCTATTAAAGATAACATGTATAAAACATATTCAACAGAAACTATTAATGAAAGCTGGACCAGGGGTAACGGTTCAACAAGTACCAAGCTCAATGAGTCAGTCTTTTTTATTTATATGTACTGATAATCAAACATCTCACGTTTTGAAAAAAACTCGTAATAAAAACAAATTAGTTTTCACTTTATGCGAAATGAAATGATATTTCGCAAACAAAGTTAACAAACCTAAGTCCTGAGTTTTAAATCATACTCTTTACAACTGATTTATTGTTTTATAAAGCACAACGTACGATATATGCTATCTATGTTTTATTTTGTTAATGTTTCTCCAGCAAGAACACTTTAAATTATCGATATGTGTCACAGAAATTAAAATTTCCGCCTGACTAGTTGATTTTTATTTTTACTGAACGTGTGCTACCTACCTACCTCACAGGTGTCCCTGAAAGACTGAGGAAGTTTACCCGTGTTCAAGCCTTTATATAGCATAATATTGACCAATGGATTTGCTCTAAAATATTTACTGCGACAAATGTATTTTTTATAAATGATTTTGTGACGTACCCGCGTTGAACCAATCATAATAGATTATACAACACACCCTAAAAAACGTATACACTATGTAACTCACGTAAAACGTGTACATGGGAGGTAACTGACATAAACATGTATGGACATGTATGGTTCATTTCCATGTATAGACCGTAATGACCCACTGTCGTTGTTTCTCATTTTATTTTTGTGCATGTATAATGAAACTGATATACATTATGTATACACTATGCTGCTACATAATGGTCCTGTCCTAGTATTTATGTTGATCGACAAATCATGTACATTGCATGCGTACGGTGTAGGAAACATGTCGGCTTCCGTGTTGAAAAGATTATAACATGACCTAATCTCTACATATTCTCTACGTGTGTATTTTATTAATTTGAATATATTTTAAGGTTAAATCAGATTTGTATTTGCACAGGACGCTTGGCCGTAAACGATGGATATTATTGACAATAGTTAAGGTTTTTAAGGTTACTGCTCACTACATTCAGAAATCTTGACCGGTATACAATTATTGGACCGGAAACATAGTTTTTATAAGGCGCAGTAAAAGTTTATGATTACAAATCAATCTTAACCTTTTTGGGGTAAGAGAAACAGACATTTATAATTTAATGATTGTTTGAGTACTTCTTCGTTAATTTATGAAAATGTTATGGTATAAACACCTATTTAGATAAGATAGAATCAATTCAATGTTGTATTGCCGAAAAGTATGTAATAATAAAGTTGCAAGCTTGGGGTCTGCTATTTCACTTATTTTTCGAAAAACGTAATTGTTCAAAAGCTTTTGATTTTTCATGCGTGCCAGAAAATGTAATTCCAATACACAGGGTGAAATAAAGTCATGATCAGTGAGCAGGATGATTTCATGATGATTATCAATGGCAGAGAATATCCATTGTTAATGGTAGAAGATATGCATTGTTATGGCAGAGAGTGTTCTTTGCTTACGGTAGAAGATGGTCATCGTTATGATAGAACATGTCAGTTCTTTATAGTAGATTGTGTCGATTACTATTGTAAATAATGATTATTGTGTATGGTACCGGGTGCTTTTTTCCTATGGTTGATGGTGTTCGTTGTTTATGGAAGAGAGTGTTAATAATGTTCATGTAACTTGTGCCCAATCCTCTTGCATTTTTTGGCAATAAAATATGTTTAAACTAAAGAGTGTTAATTGTTTATGGTGGAATGTGTCAATTGTCTAAAGTTGTTCGTTATGAGGCAGAGAATGTTTATTTTTACGATAAAAAGAGTTCATTGATTATGGTAGTGATTGATCATTGGTTATGTTAGGTTCTTCATTGTTATGACAGGGAGTGTTCATTGTTAACGGAAAGAATGTTAATTGTTATGACAGAGAGTGTTCATTGTTACCGGAAAGAATGTTAATTGTTATGACAGAGAGTGTTCATTGTTACCCGGAAGAATGTTAATTGTTATGACAGAGAGTGTACATTGTTACTGGAAAGAATGTTAATTGATATGACAGAAAGTGTTCATTGTTACCGGAAAGAATGTTAATTGTTATGACAGCGAGTGTTCATTGTTACCGGGAAGAATGCTAATTGTTATGACAGACAGTGTTCATTGTTACCGGAAAGAATGTTAATTGATATGACGACAGAGAGTGTTCATTGTTACCGGAAAGAATGTTTATTGTTATGACAGAGAGTGTTCATTGTTACCGGAAAGAATGTTAATTGTTATGACAGAAAGTGTTCATTGTTACCGGAAAGAATGTTAATTGTTATGACAGAAAGTGTTCATTGTTACCGGAAAGAATGTTAATTGTTATGACAGGGAGTGTTCATTGTTACCGGAAAGAAAGTTCATTGTTATGACAGGGAGTGTTTATTGTTACCGGAAAGAAAGTTAACTGTTATGGGGGAGAGCATTCATTTTTAAGGTAGAATGAGGTCATTGTTAAGGCAGAGAGTGTGCATTGTTATAGAAGGGAGTGTTCATTGTTCTTTGAAGAAGGAATTAATTGATTATAGTAGAGAATGTTAATTATAATGATTGAGAATGTTCGTGGTGATAATAGTGATTATCAATGTTTATAGTACAGTATGTTCATGGTGATGATAGTGATTATCAATGTTTATAGTAGAGAATGTACATGGTGATGATAGTGATTATCA